TCTCTGTCTAGGTGAACTTCAAAACAAAAGCGGGAAAAATTCAAAGATGGCGAATGCTTCTTAGGCTGAACTTCTTAGATGTGAGTTTTTAGTTTAATGATCATTCATTTCCAGAGGGTTTTATGTTGAAGCAAGCGTTGTTACCTTGATCTTGTTGTATCAGCTTCTGCCACACGATTGACGCCATGAGCAGTGGTGGAGGCACAGAACTCTTTTGTCATCGTCTGTTGACGAAGAAATAGTTTGAGTTAATGAATCACGTCATAAAATCCTCATACGATTATATGAGGAGGATTACTCCGCTACTACTATATACATATTACAACCTTGAACCCAAGGCATACGGGGTCAACACCCTGTCAATCAAGCGAAACACAATCTTCACCCACTCACTTTGGAATCCACACAGTCATACCTAGTATAGACTAGAGCCACCCAAAACAGTACTTCCGTCCTGGAGGTAACAGTGTTGAAACAACGTTCACAAACGCTGGTTAAAGAGACACATTTGTAGTTATCTTGCAAGACTGTCATACCTTGATGTCTTTTTTTCTCTGTTCTTTCATCTTCTCGTCTCGTTCTTTAAGACATTTCTCAACTATCTTCTGTGCCCGATCCTCAGCCGTTTCCTCGATGACTCGGAGGAGTCTTGAATCTATCCTCTCGAGGACCCTGAGGTCTATATCGCTGGTGGCTGTCATCTTGGCGGGATATATGAGATTCTCCTGCACAAATATTTATTGATTATTTATTTATTAATAGCTTTGCATGAAGCGAACTCTGTCACTACGTCGCGGAGGTTTGAGCCCTACGTGCTCTTGTTTTAGCTTAAGAAATGATGTGACGTTCTCAGCTTGAATTTCCAGTAGTGCCGATTGACTATGTTTTACTTTGAGATTTCGCTAATGGCTCTTAAAATAGTTCAAGAGGTCTTTACTTCTCAGATCAGTGCTGTTTTCCTTTTAAAAGTGCCTCCACCTGCGAGATGGTACTATACTCTTCACGGTTTGATACTCAGGCCAACCCTTCCAGCATAAAAAAAGGAATCAATCATCATTATTCATTCTCGTCGTAACAACACAAGAGCGAAGTACACATTTATTTCTAACGACGCGACGGTTACATTCGTCGCAAGCTATCGTACGAGTTGATGTCGTATGATTAAAAGAACCAACCTTCGACAAGGATCTAAGATCTAAGACTGCATTCCTTTTAGCAACAAGACAGATGAAAGTTTGAAGGACGCATGCACGACTATCCCAAATATGTCCAAAGAAATCTTACCAGGATCGTAAGACATATGTAACCGTGCGTGCCCTTATAGACAGTTCTGGGGCCAAGGAGGTCCACGTAAACCATACAAGCCCCCACTGGAATAAGGTTTGGGGCATTTAGTCTGAAGAATGTTTGCACTGTTTAAAAGAATGTTTAAACTGGATAATGAGGCTACAGACAGGAACAGCGTAAACACTTTTAACAGGTAACTTTACACCTGACATGTAAGCTGCTGTGTAATATTGTCGGTAAGGTTTTAGATCCCTTAGGCCGAGGAAAAAAGGTGTGTTTTCAGTTACCCAACCGACCCTAGCAAAAAAAACCCAACATGTTTTGGTTTGAACGTTTACAATAGATATAGGATTTCTAGGACAGAGTTACGAGTATCTAGGTCGCCCAGGATATATAATTCATGTTTGTCTGAACCTTTGTTTATTCTCAGAGCCACAGAAAAATTGTAGAACCTCAGGGCCTCTTAAAATATGGTTGATTGCAATTAACAAAATGCTGCTCATGCATCCCGAATAGTGCAAACCCAGCGTATTTGAGTTGATACTCATTACTGCGATGACAGTAAAACGTCTCAAAACAGTTCATCTGTTGTCTTTGTAACTAACATGGTGCAACAAGCTTCCTTCACTTCTGTATAATGTCTTTCGTATGTCACTAATTACTAAGTGACAGAAGTGATAGAAATTAAAGGACAGGGATGCTAAAATTGCATTTATCTAAATATTTATAGTAGCAGTCATTTACACGTGTATGATATACACAATTACACTTCGATCGAAATCCCAACAAAATCCAACGTTCTCTCGTAGATCAAGTAACAGCAAACACAGGTTTTGAGCTGAAAACCAGGAGTTTCCTTCCATGTTCAATTACGCTTAGTGACTTGAAAATCACAATTTTGTACCTACAAAAGGATACAATGAAAGTGGGATTCGTCGAAAGGTTATAGAAATGTAAGGAACCATTTCTTACCTGTCCTCGGTCTATTGGTGGGGCTTCTTTGTACAGTGTCCTGAGAAGTTCGAGAAATAGCCGCATAACCGGAGGCAAAACACAGTATTCATGGGCGAGCCCCGTCAATAGTAGTTCGGGCACAAAGTAGTGCGGCATAAAAATTATATATGTGAGAAAGCTGCAAATGGAAACTGAGCTGACTGGTAGAAGAATATACGTCAGGTTTGAGATTGTATAAGTTGAGAATCATGATGTTTGGTTGGTCGGCGTAGATCGGCGCCTGGATCCTGCATTGCCTACACCTGTACCGGTGCGTTGACTGCAGTTCATATAACCTCCGCTGAGCGTCGTATTAACATGAAATGAGCCGACACACTTGACTTAATTTTCACATGTTTTGTAGATTATACCATGAACTCAAACATCCTCGATTTTTTGCAACTTGCTTGTGCACCCTACTATAAATTTAAGTCTAAGGCGCTTGAGATCACTTCATGTGAAACATTACATATTTTTTAAACATTCCCCCGACATACACGTAATGTTACATTAAACCGGTTTATCGAGGGTTCCCAACTCTGTTTACAAATCCTGCTTTTGTGCTGGCATTTTGCCCTGTGTCGAAGGTGACAATGATACAAGTCGTGCAGAGGGGGAGGGTTGTATCTGTATCTGTGTCTGTATAGCCGGTATAACCGCCCTTCGGCGTAACACACCAGCTTCGCAGGCACGCGGCGCGACGGCAGTTAACACCGAACGACCTGTTGCACCTAACCTTTGAACATCTAACTCCAAACATTGTTTATAGCTATCTCATGATAATGCCCCTGCTGTACTTGGTGACAGCGAGTTCCACTCTGTTGTTTGTACACTGACACACCAGCAAACACAACCTTTGCCTCCAGCACAATCAGACTGCACCAGAAAAGAGCGGTACAGAACACGGTCGCGAGTCTCTGAAATCAAGAGATCCAACATGACAGGTGGGTTTTAGACTTATAATCAGATATCATTGTGATCTTTGGCTTGAACTTGTTCCAGGAGGCAGGTTCAACAATGATAATATTATTAATACATGATAAATGTATCTATTATCAACAGATCCCTTTATCATATACCCGCCCCACCTCATTACATATTCATATTCACGACTAATTCCCTAATTGATAACTTAGTGAGTAGTAGTAGTAGCATAGAATATGATGAGCCCGATGAATGCATTTTAAATGTTGATCGTGTAAAATAAGTCGTCCTGATGAAAGTATGCTGTAGTTTTGGTGAAACTGTGACAGGCTCAGATCGGGACAGACCTTGTACTTTGTACTCATGACTGTAAGGACAATGACCTGCAATAGGCCCTGGGCCTGGCTGGGCTGACTGATTTTGGCTTAGTTATAATGATGTAAGATCGTTCATAATTTGCAGTTCAACCGATGACAAGATGACAATTACTAGTAAAATATTTGCATTTTAACATGTTTTATTTTGCATTCTGCGTTTTGACGAAAATACTGTAAACGCGTGTACTGTAAACGCGTGTACTGTAAACGCGTGTACTGTAAACGCGTGTACTGTAAACGCGTGTACTGTAAACGCGTGTGCTGTAAACGCGTGTGCCGTAAACGCGTGTACTGTAAACGCGTGTACTGTAAACGCGTGTGCTGTAAACGCGTGTGCCGTAAACGCGTGTATTGTAAACGCGTGTACTGTAAACGCGTGTGCTGTAAACGCGTGTGCCGTAAACGCGTACTATTGTAAACGCGTGTACTGTAAACGCGTGTACTGTAAACGCGTGTACTGTAAACGCGTGTACTGTACATATAGGCTACCAGAAAAGCCCTATTCCTTCAAAGGAATTGGTTTTGTAGCAAACATTACTAAGCCCGATTTCCCTGGTTTTCATTTATTTCATTTATTTCGAAACCTTTTAGCCCCGAAGGGCTAATCTTCCAAGGCTCAAACATTATAGCAATTACAACATTGTGGAAACATTTAAAAATACATACATACATACATGTACACCACATCAACAATAAATACACATAGATATAAACAATTTAAAAGTGGCGAGCAAGGGTCAAGGATCAGGTGACACTACTACTAGGTTTAAGACTGCGAGCAAAGTACAACAGCCACCGGAGCGGGGGACGCTACGGGACTTTGCGCGGGCGAAGTCCGCCGCTGGTCCCGAGGACATAGCTCCTCCAACGCGGTGACTTTTTCGCCGTGAATTTTATGAAATTTATTTCCTAAAGTCAGTGCCACTTGCACAGAATATGTTGGTCTTGACTATTTCAGTAGTCTGGCGTCTGTTTTATCGAGTATTAAAAGGAGATGCCTTGGTTTTAGCCTGGTAATCATGCCACGGGAGCTCCCTGGCATCTCAACGGCGCTGGGAGTGTTACCCGCCCGCCCGGCACATTAACGCACGTCGGGGCATTTTTACGGGGTCGGTTTCGATAATTTTAGCACGGCATTGAGCAGAAAGGCCGACTAGAAAGATAGGCTGCCAGGAAAAGACATATTCTTTTGTAAACGCGTGTACTGTAAACGCGTGTACTGTAAACGCGTGTGCTGTAAACGCGTGTGCCGTAAACGCGTGTATTGTAAACGCGTGTACTGTAAACGCGTGTGCTGTAAACGCGTGTGCCGTAAACGCGTGTATTGTAAACGCGTGTACTGTAAACGCGTGTACTGTAAACGCGTGTACTGTAAACGCGTGTACTGTACATATAGGCTACCAGAAAAGCCCTATTCCTTCAAAGGAATTGGTTTTGTAGCAAACATTACTAAGCCCGATTTCCCTGGTTTAAGACTGCGAGCAAAGTACAACAGCCACCGGAGCGGGGGGACGGCTACGGGACTTTGCGCGGGCGAAGTCCGCCGCTGGTCCCGGAGGACATAGCTCCTCCAAACGCGGTGACTTTTTCGCCGTGAATTTTATGAAATTTATTTCCTAAAGTCAGTGCCACTTGCACAGAATATGTTGGTCTTGACTATTTCAGTAGTCTGGCGTCTGTTTTATCGAGTATTAAAAGGAGATGCCTTGGTTTTAGCCTGGTAATCATGCCACGGGAGCTCCCTGGCATCTCAACGGCGCTGGGAGTGTTACCCGCCCGCCCGGCACATTAACGCACGTCGGGGCATTTTTACGGGGTCGGTTTCGATAATTTTAGCACGGTATTGAGCAGAAAGGCCGACTAGAAACGATAGGCTGCCAGGAAAAGACATATTCTTTGGTAAACGCGTGTACTGTAAACGCGTGTACTGTAAACGCGTGTGCCGTAAACGCGTGTATTGTAAACGCGTGTACTGTAAACGCGTGTGCTGTAAACGCGTGTGCCGTAAACGCGTGTATTGTAAACGCGTGTACTGTAAACGCGTGTACTGTAAACGCGTGTACTGTAAACGCGTGTACTGTACATATAGGCTACCAGAAAAGCCCTATTCCTTCAAAGGAATTGGTTTTGTAGCAAACATTACTAAGCCCGATTTCCCTGGTTTAAGACTGCGAGCAAAGTACAACAGCCACCGGAGCGGGGGACGCTACGGTCCCGAGGACACAGCTCCTCCAACGCGGTGACTTTTTCGCCGTGAATTTTATGAAATTTATTTTCTAAAGTCAGTGCCACTTGCACAGAACATGTTGGTCTTGACTATTTCAGTAGTCTGGCGTCTGTTTTATCGAGTATTAAAAGGAGATGCCTTGGTTTTAGCCTGGTAATCATGCCACGGGAGCTCCCTGGCATCTCAACGGCGCTGGGAGTGTTACCCGCCCGCCCGGCACATTAACGCACGTCGGGGCATTTTTTACGGGGTCGGTTTCGATAATTTTAGCACGGCATTGAGCAGAAAGGCCGACTAGAAAGATAGGCTGCCAGGAAAAGACATATTCTTTTGTAAACGCGTGTACTGTAAACGCGTGTACTGTAAACGCGTGTGCTGTAAACGCGTGTGCCGTAAACGCGTGTATTGTAAACGCGTGTACTGTAAACGCGTGTGCTGTAAACGCGTGTGCCGTAAACGCGTGTATTGTAAACGCGTGTACTGTAAACGCGTGTACTGTACATATAGGCTACCAGAAAAGCCCTATTCCTTCAAAGGAATTGGTTTTGTAGCAAACATTACTAAGCCCGATTTCCCTGGTTTAAGACTGCGAGCAAAGTACAACAGCCACCGGAGCGGGGACGCTACGGGACTTTGCGCGGGCGAAGTCCGCCGCTGGTCCCGAGGACATAGCTCCTCCAACGCGGTGACTTTTTCGCCGTGAATTTTTATGAAATTTATTTCCTAAAGTCAGTGCCACTTGCACAGAATATGTTGGTCTTGACTATTTCAGTAGTCTGGCGTCTGTTTTATCGAGTATTAAAAGGAGATGCCTTGGTTTTAGCCTGGTAATCATGCCACGGGAGCTCCCTGGCATCTCAACGGCGCTGGGAGTGTTACCCGCCCGCCCGGCACATTAACGCACGTCGGGGCATTTTTACGGGGTCGGTTTCGATAATTTTAGCACGGCATTGAGCAGAAAGGCCGACTAGAAAGATAGGCTGCCAGGAAAAGACATATTCTTACAGCAATTGCCGGTGAAACACATTTAATTCGGCCCGTAAAAAAAAGTTACCAAGGCTAGGTCAACTCAACACCGACTGACCGAGGCTCGCCTCGTCTCCTTGGATTTTTAGCAGTTTAACTGACTCCAGACAAAGATACCTTGGATATTTAGAAAGATTAAAGAGTCCTCAGAACTTAGATCAATTCATAAAAGTTACCTGTATTGTATACTTTCACCACTTTGCTCCAACAAACATCACGGTACGGTCCAGAAAACAATTCAATGGCTGCCATCCGTGCAATCGATTATCAGACTGTATCGCATATTTTTCGCCACGTGTCAAAAATGCCGCCTGGCGGATTACAACGGTACTTGTCAGTGGTAAAATTGCCAATACGAATTTACATTGTTTATTTAAGAGCGACCCCTAGCAGCTAATGATATTAGTGCTTCAAATGGCAAAGCGTGCCAAAGAACTTGAGCCAATCAGAAGAGACATTACAAAACAACCCTTGGTTAAAAATCTATTGGACATGCCTATTGGTCTGTCAATCAGCAGCCAATACATACAGTAGCACTGATTAGTCAATTTGTTTGATCATCGGGTAATTACCGTATAGTTCTTCCCGCACGTGCGCCGAACAACATACTTGTCCAACACCGCTGGAACAAAGTAGTCCCTGCAAACTATCGCAATTTCGTGATAAAACAGCTTAATATTTATTCTAAATATTATTTTGCCATAAAATAATATTTTTGAAATGTTAATTTTCAATAGATCATCGAGCATTAACCATGATTATATATTTTACGTTTACCGGGGTTGCCCAAGAGGCCTTGGTGGGCGTGCACCACTCTCATCACCAAAGAAATTCCGGCAAGCTAACGATCGGCTTGCCCGGTGTGTGTTGAAGCGGCCGCTCTGAGTCGGTTGAACCATTGCTAGTTGAACCCACTTGAACGTCAAAACACGAAAATTCGGCATAGAAGCCAAGGAGAGGGGCACACATCAGTGTTTTATAAGTCCACAACTTACGGGACGCTGTTTGTGGCTAAAGTCCGCCAGAACAGAGGGAGGCAACCCTGGAAGTGCGAGTCAGTACCAGGGCCAGGCCCGGGGGCTAGGCCGGTTCGTACTCGGCCTGCTAGCAGCAATCTGACCGGCCAACGTGTTATACGGCGCGGCGTGTCTGAGACCGTTGGACTGTTGGCGCGGCCTTGAAGCCTAGGAGAGGGGGACACCTCAGTGTTTTATTAGTCCACAAGTTACTGGGCGATGTCTGTGGCTTAATTCGCTAGAAAAATAGAGAAGGCAACCCTGGAAGTGCGAGTCAGTACCAGGGCCAGGCCCGGGGTCTAGGCCGGTTCGTACTCGGCCAGCTAGCGGCAATCTGACCGGCCCCGAAATCGGCGCACTTCAGTCGGCGGTTTGAGCGTACACTCCTCCGGGTGAGCGGACGTTCCTCCGGTTTTGAGCGTACATTCCTCCGAAATCGGCACACTTCAGTCGGCGGTTTTAGCGTACACTCCTCCAGGTGAGCGGACGTTCCTCCGGTTTTGAGCGTACATTCCTCCGAAATCGGCGCACTTCAGGCGGCGGTTTGAGCGTACAGTACGTAAACGCGTGTGCCGTAAACGCGTGTACTGTAAACGCGTGTACTGTAAACGCGTGTACTGTAAACGCGTGTACTGAAACTGTAAACGCGTGTACTGTAAACGCGTGTACTGTAAACGCGTATACTGTAAATGCGTGTACTGTAAACGCGTGTACTATAAACGCGGGTATTTTAACGCGTGTACTGTAAACGCGTGTACTGTAAACGCGTGTACTGTAAACGCGGGTACTGTAAACGCGTGTACTGTAAACGCGTGTATGTGGGTGGGGCTATCATGGGTCTTTAACATTTTAATGTTTTGTTTATAAATCTATGGATTAATCAAAAGGTAAATGACATTGTCTTGGGTCTGTGTTTGACTAATTTGTCAGCTTGTATGTCTGTTGTCCACATTTGTAGAGTCCATCTACACGTGCACTGAGGACTTTGATGTCACTCCAAACGTCCAAGCAGACTTTGATAAGAATGGCTACATCCTTGTCAGGTCTGTGTGTCTTTCATTCCTTATCATACCCCACGTGGCTAGATACAGGTTTAACCAAATGTGACATTCACAAAACACACAAAAATGGAAAGAATGCACAAGTTCATATTCATGATAAATTTCCTCTTTAAAATTTTGTAAGTTTGATATTTCACTGATTGTGCAATTGTGGGCTGAAGATACTCTGTACAATCGTATGGACACTAGCAGTACTAGTGATCGATTGTGTGATGTAATTCAACCGGGTATGATCCTCTCACCATACAGTACATTTAACGTTGCACACACACGTTGCATTCAACACGGATATGCAGTACAATCCCTTAAGTTTGAAATCTCCGATGTCTTGTTTCCTCAAAGGTCTCTGTTGGACCAAGAAGAAATCAAGTTACTGAAAGATGCTCTTGAGTCTGACGAGGGGCTGATGAGACACGCGTTCTGCCGAGATGACGGGGAGGGCGGGAAGAGCAGGCTGGTCCTGTGGAACCAGCCCGGAAATGACATCACAGGAGTCATGGCTAGATGTGAGAAAGTGGCAGGAACAATGGAAAAGGGGGGTCAAAGTTTCTCTGTTATCACGTTTCAAAAGTCGTCCAGGCCAAAAGGTTATTTGAAGGTGTGTGTGTGTGTGTGTGTGTGTGTGTGTGTGTGTGTGTGTGTGCGTGCGTGTGTGTGCGTGTGTGTGCGTGTGTGTGTGTGCGTGTGTGTGTGTGCGTGTGTGTGTGTGTGTGTGTGTGTGTGTGTGTGTGTGTGTGTGTGTGTGTGTGTGTGTGTGTGTGTGTGTGGTGGGGGTGTTTTCATAAATTACAGACTGATGGAAAAGCAGTAATATTTTTATATATCATCCATAAACTGGTTCAGGTACTAAGATACGATAAGTTTCAGCTAGCATCCACTACCTTTCGTTAGTGGCACTAGAGAGTTGTCAGAAAAGCAGGTTTATAAGTACGAATTATTGATTGATATGCAAATAAAAGACACATTTTTGCAAGTCGAAAAGTTAGACATTGTGAATATGATATTGAAATGACCTTTGTCTACTGATAGAGCATTGCCAATGATTGTCTATTGATCGTACATAGAGCTTTATCATCATGACCTGTACTTAGCTTGTTAGGGAATAAATGTATGAAAAAGGCCTTTCATTTATTCATGAATGATTTCCCTATGCAGTTGTTGGGTGGAGAGGTGTACCACTACCACACCAAACTGATGATGAAGGAAGCGCGGACAGGGGGCGCTTTTGTGTGGCACCAGGACTACGGGTTAGTCAACAAGTTACTACTTTCTGACAAGAATAATACCCTGCATGAAATGTATGTAACTGTCCACCGCCTTTTTTTCGGTACAGCAACTACGAAAAGCCCGTGACAAATCGGCTGGTACTCAGGCTAGAGAATCTACCTCTAGAGTAGCATGATCTTCTCTTTATATATGCTTGTAGTGTTAGCTTTGGGTCAACATCCTCCTACTTCCGGCATGCCAGATATAACATCTTAAACTGAAAGAGAAACGTAGAAACGCGGCTGGGCTATAATGGTCTAAAGCCTCTATCGTTACAATGTAATATTCACAGAATTAATAATGTGGAAACACGACTACGATGTCATCCATTCCGCTGGTAACTACCAGCTGTCCATCCGGCCCTACGGCCATGCCGTCTGCGCTGTTCAGGGTACTCACGATGGAGCGAACGTACTCCCCGCGATCTGTAAATATCGCCACATCTGAAGCATTTATAGGAGAATACACATAGGATACGAGAACCTGTCCTGACCCATCCACACACACATCTGACACTGCATCACTCTCTACTATGGAGGACGGAACACCATCCTCGCCAATGGTGAACATATACTGCCCAGTGTCTTTATAGACATGCACGGCGGCAAGTTTACTGTCGGATACAAAAATGTTACCGTCCGCGTTTGTGGCCACGCGTGTCGGCCAGTATCTACTGAGCTGCAGCCTCCGGAACCTCCGAACAACCGTGCCGTCGAACAGCAGGACTTTGACTTCCGTGTAGTCTCTCCAGTTCTCGGCCACTATGAGAAGGTCCCGAGGTGCGTTCACTGCAACATCAGTGAATGAATTGTTCGGAAATAACGGATGAAGTGTTCTCACTCGATGTCCCGTTGTCGTGTACTGAACAGCGTACCCTGACGAGTTGATGTTGCCAACCACCCATAAAAAACAGTCCGCGTCGATGGCAATACTGTCCGGTTCCATCGTAAGGAGTTCGTCTTCCGAAACGACTGTCGCAAAATGGCGGAGGTAAGCGCCCTTCATGCTGAACACCTGAACCCGCCTGTTGTACATGTCGGCGACGAATATCTCGCTGGTTGGCGACACGACGACGCCGCTCGCTCCGCAGAACTTGCCCGGTTCAGGTCCGTCTCCACCGAGCACAACTCTCTTTAATGGCTCGCTCTCTTTGTTGTCTCCCATCCCTGTGGGACATAAAACTCATCCTCAAGTTACTTGTCCTGGATGGCCGTTGACACCCAGGTCAAGTGACTACCCTTCTGAGCCGAGGAAAGATGGCGGATGCCGACTGAAAACTTTTTAATTACGATGAGGGTTTAACCCTTCACTAGTTTTCAAGACATAAAAACAGAATTTTTGGTCGGGAACACATGAACTGCATATTTTTCCAAACACATTGAGACGTGGACTCCTTCGGATCAATTCAAGAAAATTAGAGACGGTTAGGATAAGTACACTGCAAAACAATGTCTTACCTGCAAGAGTCGATGGTGAAGGTTCCACGTGTTGGGTCGCTTTCCATTCAACTGTCATCTCCTCTGTGATGGTGTTTGGCAATGTCTGTAACAGAAAAGGAACGGGGATCACATGCGTTAGAACAAGCTTACATATCTCCCAGGAGTATCATTTGCTACGTGTCTAAAAAGTCAAGAAATATTATAAATGCATGGGAATCATCAAAACGTACCATTTTCATGTCACCAGTGTCTTCCTGTTGGCTCGCTATCCTGAAGACCACAGGAAAAACCACAGCTGAAACTACCAGTGCCCCGACGATCACACTCACGGTCACAGTGCATGCCAGCTGGGCCCCTGATAGGTTGTAGTTGCGGCCTTCAAACCGAACAGAACAAAAAGAACATTATTAATACGTGTAGTACCTTTTTATATATTTTTTTTACATCGTTTGTGGCTCTGGTTGTATTTTTTGGAAGAAACTGTGTTTGGATTTCTTTATGCATTTTGTATGTAGACACAGAAACAGATGTTAACACAGAAAATGAATGTTTAAAGCCTTCTCGAGGCTGTCTATGGTACTACGTCACAAAATCTCCAAAATTTCGACAGGGTCAAATGCATGTAACAAGCAACGATGACTGCTTTCGTCTATATATAGCTAGTTTACACTCAAAGTCAGTGAATGTTAACAAAGCTAGACTGCACGCTACCTCCAGTATCCGTCGGTTGTGGCACATTTGGGACGTACATAGGGTTGGGACATAATTCATCCTTCCTGTCACTGTCGCCATCAGCCTCTGTGACAAGGAGTAGAGAAGGGACCATTACCTTACCTTACCTTGGCTAACCTAGTACATTGAGTTATACAGTGCCTAACCATTGCAATTCTCCACAGTAAGCAAGTTTAGCCTATAGCTTTTAGAAGTATCAGTGAATACTATACTAGTGTTTGAGTGATGAGTGAATACTCAGGATTTAACTTTAACAGGTTTCAAATAGATTTCTACATTTCAACAGTAGACATAATTTCCATGATCACCATTTTTCATTATTTTGGCCTTTATAATTAGCTGCTCACTATGTAAAATTTGACTTACCAGAGCTGGTGTGTAGAAACGTATGCGCGCTGTCGCCTCGGGTATTGCTAACGGAACGCCTCTCGGTAGTTTGGTCGGCATTGCTGCAATCCTGTTCCTCATATACCACAGCATACGGCTGCAAGGGGTCGTCGGCTAAATTTCGTTGGTCACTCCTTGTAGTTGTACGCTCGTAGTATTGACCATACGCGACTGCATACGGGGTGATCCATTCCAGGGTGTTCACGCCACTACTGTGAGCTGAGTTTGTATCACTTTCCAGTGTATTGATCACTTTCCAGTGTATTAATGTGGACTCCAGGAAGAATAGTATGGAGTTGACTTCCATACTAATGGAGATCTAAATAAACAAACAAACAAACAAACAAACAAACATTCTCTGGTTGAATTCCATCGAAGTCCGTGTTCGACCCATCACTGTTCTCTGTCAAATCGTCACTGTCTTCATCCCCACATTCGTAAACGTTCGCTGGTGCTTCTTCACACTGGGTATCCTTTAGCTGATAGGTCGCGGCTTGCGTTGCTTCGTTGTCTTCAGCAACGTAAATGTTTTTCGACGGGAGGTTTTCCGAAGCTACTGGCTCTTTATAAACATAACATTCTCTGTTCTCTCTAGTTTGGGCGCTGTTTGTGCTTGTAGAGCTAACAGGTGGAACTAAGGCGCTTACTTCGTTGTTTTCCCCTATATCAAGTGTTGCGTTGTCTCTCAAGCACCCGATTGAGGAAACGTTCTTAAAGTCATCCAACGGGTTACCAGTTTCTTCTTGCTTGCTCGTCATCCTACCGTGTCTCTCAAACCGACCGGCACGCCTGTTCAGTTAGTCCTGTAGAATTAGAAGGTGCCAAACAGATATTTGAAGGATTATTTCTCTGTGAAAAGGTTTTACAAGTGTGCCGCCCTGCCTTGTTTGCAGTATTAGTATAGAACTATGGATTAATTGAAAATACGTCAGTAGACAATTTGTACCGAATATTGCCTCCATAATAGTCTGGCCAATATTTCACCGATTAATAAATTGGGTTGTAAATGAAAATTAAATTGGTCTGCTTTGGTCTGACTATTTTCATCCACCATAACCAGGTGTGTTTCTGTGACATGTATATAGTCACCCCCATCAAACTCCTTTCAAGCCGTACTCGGAAATTCAAGCCGTACCCGCTCAAAAATTCTGGCCGTACCCGGTAATTCGTGCCGTACCCTGTACTTTTTCGCCGTACCCAATGGCGGATATCGCTCAGTGTATCGTTGCCGTACAGGGTATTTAGACACGACTTCCGAGTGACTACGCATAGGGGCTGAGCGATATCCGCCATTGGGTACGGCGAAAAAGTACAGGGTACGGCACGAATTACCGGGTACGGCTTGAAATTTTCGCGGGTACGGCACGAATTTCCGGGTACGGCCAGAATTTTTGAGCGGGTACGGCTTGAATTTCCGGGTACGGCTTGAAAGGAGTTTGATGGGGGTGATAGTTAGGTACTTTAGGATCACTTCCACCGGCAGAAATTGATATCAGTATCCATCTTCATTATCTTATCCATCTTTTTCACACTCTTCTTTTTGTGATTTTCAGTGGAACAATTTTTGTGAGGCTAAAATCCCGCTTAGTGCTTTTACTATGTATGACGCGCTGCCAGGCCTACTTTCAGTCCTATATTTCAAACCAAATCTGGACTGATTCATTAGAATACGTCTACAGACAATTCAAACGAGATATTGAATCCGTATTAGTCTGGGCAAACGTTCACTAAAATTGATATCATAGTAGAGGAATATAATGTGTCCGAGACAAAATTGGTTTGAATATATGTCATACCAGCTCATTCTGCAATGAAATAAATTCTCATTGAATCTATATATACGAGAATCTATACATCTACTAGTATATAATCTCACAGAAACTTGTATCTTGTTACCTGAATTTTATTACGGAAGTATTGTTTTGAGTGGCTCATACTAGTAACACTCCGACCATTACCATCAATGTCATTGGATAGTCTATCTGTAATAATCTAGTTTATGACGCCCTGACTACAGGTACTGGTACGAGAACGGCTGCATCTTCCCTGACATGGGGACGGTTTTCATCGCCTTGGACCAGGCTACTCAAGAGAATGGCTGTCTGAAGGTATTGTTTTTTGGCGACGCCTACTAGGCGGAGCTATCAGGATATTTTGTTTGTTTTTATTGAAATCTCTATCACCGTATTTCCTGTGTTTTTTAGTCACTTGCATCACCTCATAAATCAAACTGTGAAATAGCTTTATTCCAGAATTTCATGGCATTGAGTGTTGAGTTTTTTAAAGGTTTTCTTGACATTGCAGGTGATCCCAGGCTCTCAGCGGGTTGGTCGGATTGATCACGTGCGCGTTGGGGACCAGGTGGGGGCGGATGTGGAACGCGTCACGGAGGTGAGAATGTCGTGGGGCTGGGAAGGGTCCGGCCACGACAGTCGTGCGATCGTAGTACGATTGTCGTGCGATCGCAAAATTGAGGGCATTCTTGGTATAGTCTTGCACGTATCCTGCAAAATGCAGCTGTACGGAAAATTAAAGGCGGTCTTAGATCCTTGTTGGTGGTTGGTTCCTACTGATTCTCAAAATGATAAAGAAACCTGGCCTCTTATTGGTTGTTCTGGGAATTGGAATGGTTCTCGATCGAGACTTCAACCTACATGGCCACAACCTTTCAGTGAAGAAGCCCAGTACAAAACTAACAGCGAGAGGTCTTCTTCTTTCTTCTTTCTTTCAGACCGCCTTCGTCTTGTCGAAGATTATGTCGTTCCAGTGTGTACTGCGCAAGGGGGGTGGGGTAAATGTACTGAGGAATGGAGATTTCAGGGGGGGGGGTTACAGCTTGGACTTGAAGTCCTCTAAGTTGCTACTAAGAGCAATGTGAGCCGGTAGGCTGTTCCACTCTCTGATTGTTCGTGGAAAGAAGGATCTCTCTCTATACAGTGTCCTACATCTGGGCAGCTTATATGCTGCAGAATGGTTGAGTCTTGTCGGTTTGGGACAGCTAGGGGTGGGTTTTGAGCAGCAATTAATGATCAATGAGGCTGTGAAACACTAGATCTCTTTTGGGTTCGAAATTTCAGGTCCGGAAGTTTCTCCCCTTGGCTCACGTGGAGATGGAGCCAGGCGACGCGCTGTTCTTCCACTGCAACCTGCTGCACCGCAGCGAGCAGAACCACAGCGACCACCGCCGCTGGGCCTTCCTGGTGGCGTACAACCGGGCGTCCAACAACCCGGTCATGGAGCACCACCACCCGCGATACACACCCATGTCAAAGGTATAAAACCCAGTTATAGAGCACCATCACCCATGCTACACACCCATGTCAAAGGTCTACCCAATCACAGGGCACCATCACCTACACTACACACCCATGTCAAAGGTACGAATAACGCACTCATAGAACACTATAACCCACGCTACACACCCACGTCAAAGGTACGAACAGCCCATGGACAGTTCCTACGCTGTTATACACCCATGACAAAGATACGAACAAGCCAGTCATAGAGCACTATCACCCACACTACACACACATGTCAAAGGTACTAACAGCCCAATCACAGGGCACTATAACCCACGCTACACACCCATGCCAAAGGTACGAACAACCCAGTTCCCCATGCAACACACCCAGGACAAAGGTACGAACAATCCAGTCATAGGGCACTGTAACCCATGATACATACCCATGACGAAGGTACGAACAACCCTGTCATAGAGCACCATCACCCACGCTACATACCCATGCTACACACCCACGACAAAGGCACATAACTTGAAAGGAAGGCTGTCCATAATTTCCCCTGTCCTGTAGATTCGGATATGTAAATTAACGAGTATTAGAACCGTTATCTGCATAGTTCATCTCTTACAGGTGCCCAACACTGCTATCAAGGAGTGCACAACTGCAACAGAGATTGCCGGGAAAGATTTCTTCGATCCCGCATCGGAAGTCAGCCTCAAGAAGGTCACCGAGAAGACTCTGACGCGCTGACGATTTTATCAGCTGCAATTCACCAATACTCCACAAGGGGTCATTCTTAGGAAACCCCATGTTGATTCCCAATGTGATGTTTCAGTGATAAACGTGATGTAATTGAGGATATTTGCAACAGCGCGCATTTCTTTGATCTTCGTGATTACAAACATTGCAAGGGTGGAAATAACAAAGACAATTGGACACACGCCTACATGACAAGACTAAGAGCAACAACGGTGAACAACCTGAAGATGCAGAGAATGGCAATCCACATGAAGATCCGCGACCGGTTATCAAGACACGAGCGACACCTATCGACCATGAAGAGAAAGACATCTGGGATCCAGTCGTTAGACAATCATTCAAACACAATATTAACTTCAAGATGTCATGAAAATGGAAAAGTGACAACTTGTCTCAATCCACAGGTGGCAAATTCGGTTATCAAGACATGCGCGACCCCTGTCGATCCTGAAGAGAAAGACATCTGGGATCCGGTTGCATGTCCATCGGTGAGCCAGCTGAGTTTGGACAAGAAAATTGGGAAATAGTCTTTCTTGTACTTCCAGTTTCAAAGAAACTTCGTAACCGCTGCCTTTATCCATGCTTAGTGCTGTACTTGCACTGAAATAAGTGTTGAAATTAAACAATACTTAGAGATAGATGTTCAAGGGTTCAATGTAGCCAGCTGCCACTGCGCCGCGTGCCTGCGAAGCTGGTGTGTTACGCCCTAGGGCGGTTTATACGGGCTATACCGACACAGATGATTAACATCATTTATATAATTTTAGACGAATGTTTAAATGTAAAAATGTAGAGAGATATTGCATATAGTGATAGATACTTCTATTGGCATTTTTGTATAGATATGTAATGATAAATCGCACATACCGATATTTACGTTTCATCTATTGGCAAGAAATTTGAGGCATAGCCTTTTAGAAAAAAAACAATCGATATAAAAATCTTGTGTCTTGTGACAAAGCTTAAATATATAAATAAATACATCAATGCTACGATTTTCTATCCCAACATCTGCTTGGAGATATGTGCTCTCGAGTAACCCGAGAATAAGAAGTCCCCAACGGAAAGTCGCCAGACAGTCATTCTGTTCTGATGAAAGCCACATAATGGGAGATTTAAACTATCCAAGGCTTTCACAACACAAATTACCTCCCATAGAAAACATGCCGTATATATAGGCATCGTGGTTGAAGCAAGGTTCTGAGCGGTGATTTTAGCGAACTCCCCTTAATGCTAGTGCTACATGTACACCGTGTACTTTCACTGTGACTTACCGGTTGTGTCAAGAGATCAAGATTTAAAAACTAGGACCAATTAAGGGGATTACAAGTAACACAGGACGGAAATCCTTGTGGACATTTTCGTCCTCACATCGAAACGTTGTTATCCTGAGAATAATCCCCAGCTAACTCTCATTTAGACATAATTTATTAGGTTAAGACGAGGGGACCACGTATGACGTAAGCAGACACGAGTAAAACATGTTTGACAATGTCAGTCTTTATTGGTGCTACTTTGGAGGGGCTTTGATAGATGTGTTGGCAGGCGTTTATCGCAAATCCTGTCTACTGTGTAAAAGGCATATTTATCCGAAATCCGAAGTCGTGAATCCAGTCATTAGTTGACTAAATTTGATTTGAAGAAAAGCTAAAATATTTCAGACATCCCAGCTTACCAGTTGTAATACAGAAGTCTGACGAATAGAAAAGAAATGAAAATATTTCATCACGATAATAGAAAATGGAATACTGTCTGAATATGGGAGACACCATGTTATTTTTAGAAACGCTACAGTTGAAACGTTAGAAGTGCCTAACAGCTTAAAAGACCGCAACAAAGCCGTATTTAGCTACAATAGAAGCCACAATCCTGTTTACGTCAGCTGAATTATTCCTCTCTGGTAGGTCCTAAGGAAGGTTAATCCTGGGCTCTGACCTCGACTGGCTGCTTTTGTTAAAAAGTACGCAGCTCAAAATGTTTTCCACAAGGACCCTTTCTGCGTTCATTTCTTAATTTTGACGCGTGGATGTACGTACATGTGCGGGAAATACCTACAGAACCGACGACCCAACGCATGCGTCCCACATACACACACTGCACCTGCAAATAGACAATATATGGGCTCCATATGCAGATAGTGCAAGTGTAAGTGCAAGTTATGTAACCCCGGCCTGACAATACGGGGGGACCGCATACAGGCAACATCCTGTTGTCAGGTGCTGTTGTCGGAAGAAGCTATCTTTGTCGGTGGTTGGTTCTATCACAGGCTCAGCCTGCTTCAAAAGTCGTACTACATCATGCAAAATCGCACGACAAAATACGGTACTTGAAGGCCCGTCGTAAGACAGGATTTAGCTTAAGGGCAGGCGCTTCTACAATCGATGCCGTAACGGTTGTAGGTAAACGTTCCGCAGGATCCTGTCGTACTTGCAGGACAGGACTGTGCAGCTTAGTTCTGCCCTGTTCACACTGAAGTGTGCTGAAGTACCGGTCTGGGTGAAAAACAAGTCATTGACCCACTTGTACAGTACTGGTATATAGGATTAGCCGAAACAAAAGCAACGGCCTTTGTCCAAACTGCATCTGTACTCTCATGCAGCAAACTGTTGCAAACATCAATTTAGAATCTTAAACTTGCCTTTTTTTTGTGCCAGAATCTTTTTCTACAAAGGCTTCTGTAGTCAAGTGTCAAGCGTGAGAAAGGCGTACCCTCCAAGCAGAGGTTGTGGGGGAATGATCGTTACCGTAAAAGTTTTTATATATGACCGGGTTTTTTTCCTGAACCCCGTCGGTGCCGCGGAGCTTCTCTGGCTAATGGATACTGGCTGGCCAATTTGATACTGTCTTTTTGCCACCGAGAGGGATCTGCTTGGAGATTAAGAAAGGCGCGGCGTTCAAATTTAAGCAGCGCCTGTTCGTTAAGGCGCGGTCATTCCCTGTAGGTCAATGTACGTTCGAATGTGATGTCGTTGGACTTTCAAGAGGCCCATGACGGAACAAACTACTAATAGTTGAGTAAAACAGTCTTTTTTGGTAGCAAGACAGCGGAATTTTGTATACGACACATGCACAACTACACCCAAATGCCCTCTGTTTGCAATCGCACGACAATCGTACAACGTTTGTGACCAACGCTTCTAGCTGTCCTGTGTGGGTCGTTTTCTAGTACAAAAGTCAAGGTAAAAGCTGTAAGGGTCCCTTAACATTTATGTCAAAAACCTCCGTCAAACAATGGTACTTCAGCGTGCAGAAGAGCGCTGAACCCAGTCAACACACTCCAAACCGGGCAGCCTAACCTATTGAACCGATTGTACCGCGCTCTGTTTACCTGGGCCTGACCCACACGGGAACAGGTACAACGTTACGCTATTATGACGCAAACAAAACATTCCATACATACTTATTATTATGATAAGTGTGTATCTCTGACGAGGAAACACGTGTACATAGCTAGACTGGTCAGACGATGGTATTGTTACCCTTAAAATTCAATACATTACCTTTGTTTTGTGGTTAAAGTAGCTTTAACCCAACACCTATTTACCTCCGTCGCCGGCTCTTTTCTCACACGGGTGAGCACTTCAATATTTTCTTTATGCCAATATTTTTAAATCGTTTGTCCCTGGTATCATATTTGACAGCTACATTCAGGTGTGATGTACAGTTTTTGAAGGCGAAAACAACGATGTTCAGTCAAGTGTTGTTTACACTGCCTAAAATCCGGCAGAACAAGAGGTTCTATGATCGTGTGGTTTTCTGTGGTCTCGACAAAGCGGACCTAGTTTGAGGGACACGGCGGACCTCTCATATTCATATTGCCCACTCCAACTTCGGCGGGACACCGCTAGGAAGGTGCGTACTGAACTGTGCTTATAGGAAAACATAGAAACATTTTTTCTATTGATAATCAGTACTGTGAAACAGAAATTGCGCTTGTTTATTCGATGATATTTGGGTCGTTAGTACTTTCTGTGTTTCTAATGACTTGTTACTGTAAATGCGTTTACTTTCGTGGTGGTTTTCTATCGCGGTTTTGTGATTTTGAGGAAATAGGCCAGGCCATTAAAAAAAACGTGAAAATAAAAGCACCGTAAACCTTTCACAATTTACAGTACCTTTATCTTGTAGCAAACATTGTCGATACTGAGTTTAAGCGTCGTTTAACATTTTGATTCAATATAACTTTCTTTACATTTTGAGTGGCAAAATTAGAAAGAAAATTGCGCTGCACGTTATCAGAAAAAAAAACGGCCTTTTGTATTCTCATTTAGGGTGTGGGTGTTTGGAGATGTGGCCACAAGGGTGTGGGGGTATGTGGGTGAGTGAGTGTGAGTGGATGAGGGTGAGTGTGTGGGTGCAAGTTTGGGTGTGTACGCGTCTGTGGGCGTGTTGCCTTGTACATGTGCGGGTGTGTGGTTTTATGTGCGCACACGTGTGACGTTTGATTGTTCAAACCTGTCCACTATATACGTTTCATATCTTCTGAGTGGTTATGGAGAGAGTAAGATTAGACAAGAATAGGGTCAGCGACAAGTGGAGTGAGCTGCGGGAAAATGAACTCCATGGTGGCCAAACTCTCCTGGCCAATTTTCCCCCCCTATTTGGCTCAACTGTACTATTTTTAATCAACCCGAGTGAGCCTGGTGGAGACTATTAAGTCGTCCCTGTCGCATCTTTAAGGAAGCCATCAGACCCCCTTTCTTAAGAAACACTTGTAGAAAGGATTAGATATAATCCCCGGTATAAATGAATCGATAAACAAATATGTATAGTGTATAGTGTGGAAGTTACGTCAAGTTATCATAAGCATCCGCTTCCGACTATGGGGGCGTCTCCGGCTGACTAATAGCAAAAAAACAAATAATCCTCTACATGATATCCGGAAAGAGAGAGGTCATCCCTGATACAATACAATACAATACAAAACAATACAAGACCACAATGATCTGACTGTACCCCAGATATGAAGAGAATATGAATCCGTCTACCTGAATATCGATATTGTCCTAAATAAGACGTCAAGCGGAGGTCGTCTATTGTTACGTTGACGTCATTGCTACCATGGCAACGGTTTTGAAAAGAACTTACTTAGCAGAAAACCTTACTTTAGTCGTGTCAGGGAAGACAAGAACTTAAAATGAATTAGGGCAAAAGTCCTCCTTTGAATTTGTTCAGACGATTTGTTCGACCAATTTGTGTCGTGGACTGCAACATAATTCTGATACATGTATCATGTTTACTTCAAACTGATATGTTCGGACTAACTTCGGTGGTAGTTGTGTATGTGGTAGGGACTTCCATTTATCATTCTTTCGTTGTTTTTAATCAAATATTGTCTAAAAAACTGAATCATGGAGTTTATCTTAGATTTCTCTTGTAACCTCGAGGCAATTTTCAAACAAAGGTGTCCACTTGGTTGTGATGTCACTGATGACGCAAATAGACGGACGGACAACAAATAGCTTTTTAGTAATGATCATGTTAGTCTGGCTTCAATCTATCCTGGCAATCTATGTACCGTGCCACTTGTTACACGGATTTCAATCGAGCAGCACTTGCAGAGACGCTAGTAACAGTAAGTACGATATGAATTAATTCGAGCTACTTGAGGCTTTTTCTTATGCAGCAGTAGTCGAGATCCATACAATTTATTGGTACGGTAGCTATGTGTAAAATCTATATTTTCCCTTTGGAAGTTTTGGCGTGTTGTTTTTTTTAAATTACAGTTTGAAAGCTCACTACTTGCAAGAGTAATGTCAACTGTGTTCATTATGTAGAATTGCAGGTTTAACATACCAGAGACATGTCCCCATTTCTACCATAAATACTGTAAAGGTACAACTAGTGTGCTACGCAAGGCCTGACTTTTTCTCCAGCGGACATGCAAACTATTTCAGGTGGTAAGCAGGGGTTTGACGGGTAGGATTCGAACCCTTAACCTCTGGTTGAAATTTATCTGACCGCTATAGTACCTAGTTAGGTCCGCTAGTTATTTGACCGCACATGCCCTGACAATAGAAGCATTGCCTTACCGAATTAACGTGCACGTCGCTGGGTTAGTGGGAGTGGGAGTGGGATTCGAACCTTGCTTCATTGGTCTCGTGTTAAAGAGAATGCAAAAAATGTCGAAAATTAGCCCTTTTGCGATAACGGTAAATAGAGGACATTGACATCACTAAAATATCGAGTTTGTAAGTTATGTTGCGTACACATACAGTGCACAGAATCTAGTATATATTTAAAACACATCTTAAAGCATTCGTAAAGGTTGGTAACGTTTCTTCCTTCTGGCGTACCTTTACACATGCTTTAAGGTGTATTTAAAGATATGATTTCGTGCAATTTTGCCTCGTAGCATTATTATTTCATGGCATGTTCAGCAAAACTATGCATGCACAATTTACACAGACATACAGTGTAGCCTTGTACTAAGTATAGATTACCTAGCATGTTATACATGTTATACATGGCACGTGTTAAGCCATGAACAGCCGCCGAACACTCTACAACATACGCCAGAAGCAAGGTTGAATAGAAGTAACATATAGCTTCGTGATAAAGACCAGTTCCACCAAGGTGGCACGGCCGGACTAATGTCGAGCATGTGTTAGGAGGACATTTGGTCCTGGACGGACACAAAAGGTCTTCAAACAAAAACAATAGACTATGGTTCTTTTGTTCTTGAGGTCATGACCTGAGCGAGGATTCTTTCACGTCTACCGATAACATCGAATCGTACAGGTGCAAAGAAAATATTCAGAGCAAACTAGCATACGTTTATCTACCTATACAACATGTGTAGTGGTTATAATGGGCGGAAGTCGGGCTTTGTTTCCGTTCGAACCTAATCTGTCGCGGGTTGTTTTGAGGGTAAACTGGTTTCCTTTACGCCGGGGTTTGACCTGTTTGTTTTTATGCTCATATTTCGTAACGGCGAGAACAATGTGAAGTGATTTATCTCAGAACAGGCCTGAATAATGGCTCCTTTTAGTAACCGATTGGACGCACGATCGAGGACCCAGCTGTCGCACGACAGACTTACGACAGTAAATCTAGGGCGTTCTTGCGACAGTCTTTGATGTGTAGCCGAATCCAGTTTAAGACGGAAAAATTGCCGTAGACGCATTTTGGGGGTCGGCGCTATCATAGCTTTGCTGAAAATCGTAATTATTCCGGGCACGTGACTTAGGGCCTGATCACATACGCCGTACGATCGCAGTACGATGGTCGTGCGATTGCAAAATCTGCTGGAAAATTCGGCGACATCGAAATGATCATGATAGGACTATATCATATGTAACAGGTATGTGGCAGGGCACTTACAGAGTAGAAGGGTGGAGGGTCCAAGTCTACGTTGCGTTGTTTGCTTACTTACTACTCTCGCCACCATCTCGCCACCCATGTTAGCCAATCAAAAGTTCAAATTGTGTAATGAAATCAAGTGCGAGGTTTAAATATAGACACGGAACGGAAGTCTCCATAGTCAACAAATATTGCCTTTTCGTACGCGAGTCAAATTAAGCAACTGCACACCGAAGAAATTTCGACAGAGGGCGCTGAGAACTATGGCATGCACCTATTACTAGTAACAAAAATCTGACTAATGAAGACTGACGAAAAGATACGGTAGCTATAAAAGACGACACATTGTTCTTGAAAGGAAGATATCGGTATATTGTGCTGTTACATCGATTCAAAACATTTTCTATGCTGTTATTTTAGTGAAAAACAAAATTTACTATCTTTATATTTTTAGCCAGGACTATATAGACCACATGCTCTTTTGTTCTGACAGTCCTTTATAATTAGCTAGCACTTCGACCAATGAGAGAATGGCAAGTAACCGTTCGACCAATGACAGAGTGTCAGTCAAATACTTGAAGTGTATTTCTACGTTTTGACGGTTGTGGGCGTGGCTGTGGGCGTGGCTCTGGAACGTACGGTCTACCCTTGGACTTTGACCCCTCCAGACGGCCATTTAATTACGACGATTTTAGGGATGATTCGTTAATGAGAGACTCAAGCACATAAAAAAGTTATACGGGGCCAACAAGAATGGTTGGTGAGCTTGCTCAAGAACACAGAAAGTTGAAATTAACAACACGTATTGCTATCCAACAATTCCACATAAAGCCTGGTACTAAATAATATACGTACTTCTTCTTAAATATAATCTATACTACTGCCCAAACAATATTGGAAGGTGTAGAAATAGTTATTTACAAATCATCACTTTTCCTACGGATACAGGCAATGTAACGCAGTTTTAATCCTACAATTTGCCAACGTTACGTATAATAGTTATTATCAGTTAAATGCTTCCCTTCCGTCTGATTTCACATCAAGTCGCTCTGAGTTCCTTCCTCTATGATAACTACATTCACTCTTCCAATTTAAATCGACCTTTTCGTAGTTACGTACTTTAAAGACAACATGTCCTTAACTACGGAGCGTCTTTGAAAACACTACCACGTGTTTGCTTTGAACAAGTTCCAATTTGATAAGGCCACGCCCCCACTGTCGGTCGTTAACGGGCTCATAATCCGGTAATCGGAAGGAAAGGCTGAAACAAGCGGTGGTTAGGGTTGGTTTGTTCGGTGGTTGCCTGCCTATATAAAGCGCCGCCCTACACACGTGTAGAAGCCTCTATACAGAGCTGGCGACGGTAGCACTGCGGCCACACTCAGCGGACACGCATTGAAAAACGCCGTACGGTATGTATTGTTCTAAACTGTCCTCTTTATCAAACATCTCAGTGATGTATAGAACGTTTAGATGACAAATTGAATAGGGAAACGACGTATAGTCAAATTATGAGGACGCGTCGTAAGATTTTCTTGTCTGGTCAATTTATTTTTATTGCGTTTTTATGTTTATCACTAAGCATTTATCACATATATAGGTTTCATAGGTTTGCTTTGTGCATAAGCTTATTCCATTGTTTTGCTGTAGGTATTACCCTAGGCTTTTCAGTGTCATTTTTACAATGAGTTTTATGTTTTAATCAGTAATAGTAAAAGGGCGAGAACAGGACGTTAGAACAGGGCGAGAACAAACTGCAGAAACAAGCCCCAAGATGAGTCCTTTAAATGGGTGGTACCCTAAATTCAGCCAAGGGGCTTCCAGTAACCATTTTCCGTCAGAATTTTGGGTATTTTTGGTCCATGAGGGTCAATATACATATTGGGATGTGCTGTTTCAAATCAGTATGCAGGTAAGTGACTGGATGCCTTTAAGGAAAATGATGTTTTATATGCTTCTGTCAAAGCCTGCTTGAAAATTCTATGAGATCAAAATTGTACGACGGCCTACGATGAATTGTGAACGGGAAGATACTCAAATAAATTTAGATACGGAACGTGTTGTTATACTACTGTATACAAGGCCTTGTAAAAGTCCAATGTTGACTGCGTGTTGTTGCCATATGGCTCCTAAGAAAGTACATTAACACACAGCCAAACAGCGCCAACAGTTGGTTCACTTAGTGTCTTCTCCAGCTGAACACCAACTCCGACGCCAAGTTAGAACAAGTCATCTCAGGTCAGCCTATAGCCATGTGTACTTGCCATACAAAACGAGTTTAAAAATTTTACTCTAAGGAGACGTTTGGAAGCAAACTGTGCTCCTGTGCTTGTACGCCTCTCTAGTATATATCAGTGGATCGTAATCCCCGAGAAAGCAAAATCTGGTACATTTTGCACTGACAAGTCGGAGCATTTTTCTGGTTAATGCAAGGCAGGACTTGCCACTGTAGATTGGGGAAGATCAGCCTTCGGGTCTTCAAGTCAGGTAAATGGATCCTTTTGTGTCCTTTTTAATTTTCGGTCGTGGCAGTCTATTCTTGCTAGTTAACGGTAGGATTGAAAACTACTTGTAAATCGGTTGTGATATTTACGGATCCCAGCGATAGCGCAACTGCTCACCAACCTGCCTCTGTTATAATACTGTCAACGGATTTATACTATATTTAGCGATTAAGTGTATTGCCTTTAATCAAAATTTGCTTTTGGTAAATTTCTGATTTAGTAGTCACCACATGCAATATTTGATATACAGCTATGGTCATAACTAGATCTTGACATCTGCTTTCAAACAAAAACCTGGAAACGATATACCTTACAAGCTAGTTGGCCAAAAAAGATGCGATTCTCTGTTCGTTTCGGCGGTGGTTTCTTGTAGTCGGTGTTGTGTACGTATGTAATCCATTCAACATGTTTCAGTAACAGATACTAAAAACGTTTAACTGTGTCGTCAAGGAGAACTATTTATAGGAAGTCACCCCGCCCTGAGGCGGCTCTCATGTGTCCGAGAAGGCATCAGTCTGGACAGGATTAGACACGAAAACACGATGTGTGGCAACTTCGACAACAGATTAAAACTTACGAAAATAAATACCATCCCCAAGGTGACGCCTGGGCTAAATTTAGGCCTTTTAAAATTGGAAACATCGTCACCTAGAAAGTAGACATCTCTCCTGAGAAGTTACCGTAACAAGCTTAGTCGGCATTAATTTGCTTCCCAGGGACTCGTGCCCAAAGGACAGTATTGTTCTTGAACATTTGATTTCAGCCCAAGCATGTCGTGTCGACGCCAAACGATTTGATGTTAGGCCACACCGACTTAATTTTATGGATGACATCCGCGCGCGCATTGATTTTCGCCTGTCGCTCTCAAAAAAAAAAGATCACCTCCACCGAGGCTCTGGCCTGGCTCTAGGCCTGGGTAGTCCATGGTAGTCAGCGACAAAACGGAGCCGAGCACCCAAGCTATCGAATTCGAAGCTCCACGACTCAAGAACTCAGTACATAAGTATAGTACCGATTCATAAATGCCACAAAAAGCCAGCATGTACCGGCTTGTCGTATACGTCACTATGTACTGTCGGGAATTCACAATACCAGCTTTGTATTCCTGTGGTTCAGTAGCATTTTTATTTTTGGCCGGAATTTTTTTTTATTCGCCCGCGCGCACTAGTTTGGGGGTCTTCAGAGGATGTCATCCATAAAATTAAATCGGTGTGGCCTTAGTTTAACATTCTGACTTAAATGGTGGCTTGATAACAGTGCCGTTTTTAAACCCGTGCGAGTCAGTACCTGGCGTGGGAAGAAGGTAGGTTTCTATAAGAAATGTGTCTTTATGACACGGGGCATCAAGGTGTATGAATGCTTTAATTGCCCTATTCTTGTTACCTATGAGCTAATTAACTACCATTGGTCAGAAAGCCCGTTTTAGCGGCTCGGTTGCTAGGTGAGCCAGACGTATGCGAACCTTGCTAATCACGTTAAGTTAAAGATGAAGAAGACAAGATGACAGCCGAAAGGTTGTTACCATGGATAGCACAGCTTCATTATCCGTCTGCTTGTTGCTTGTAATTACTTTATTCAACTACATTTTACTTGTACTAACTACACAGATAGGTTCACTTCTTAGTTCCAAAAATACAGCATTGTCCCCAAAATACGGAGGAACAGAAGAAGAACAGTCTCATTCCCAGTGATCACTTGCGTGTGTACCCTTGTTGAGAAAGGGTCCGTTCAGTCAACAGAGCCGAGTTTAACAAGTTGTTTTCTCTCCGTCTTGTTTTGTTATTGTCTTAGATTTGTCAAGAGACGAGTCCGAGCCAAAGCCATGAGTACTCACCAGCGGAGCGACATCATGCTGTCCCCGGGCGGCGAGCAGCCTGGGCGGGAGGAGTCCACCATGGAGTTCGCGATGAAGATGTTCGACATCGTGAAGGCGGGGTTCGTGTGCATGGCGATGTCGGTGGGGTCCAGGGCCGGGCTGTTTGAGGCCATGGGGCGGCTGGAGGAGCCGGCCACATGCCAGGAGATCGCCGATGCCGCCGGTATGCGAGTCAGGTGAGTCGTGCAGGTGCACACGATGTCTTTTTTTTTAACGGTGTCGCTCAATGCAAGGCCAATTATTTTTGGCCACTTCTAGGCATAGAGCTAGAGGTACTTAAGTGAGTATAATGTAGTTATGTCAGGAGATGGCGGTGGACCTTTGTTTTGAAGCTTTGTGGATTGTAATCGGACGGAAAGCAGCTGTTTAGAAGAGAGTTCCATAATTTTGCAGTCCGGGGGAAGGAACTGTTGTTGTAAAATGACTTGGAGACAGGTATGTTGACGGTGTATTGATGAGAGCTGGAAGAGAACCTAGTGGCACGCTGAAAGGTTCTGAGCGGCGGAACAAGAAGTGTCTTCAATTGGACAAGGCGGTCTCGTCACCAGGTTAGGGTTTCTGAACAAGGATTTCTGGGTTCGAATCCCTACCAGATCCCAATGCTTTTTATCAGGGCACTTTATAATTACACCTCACTCGATTCAGGCGAAAACAGTGTTTGAGAAAAGTCACACGTACCGATAAGAATAGGATCCGGAGCCCTTCTGTGACTGTTTCAAACCTAACAGTCCTATAAGATACCCTCATTTCTATCCCTGACCGCCAAACTCAAATGCTATATTGTTATCTGTAAGTTGTTACGTCTACACAAGGCCTGGGAGGTTTTCTTGTCGGCGTGTCTGTTTGTGTGTTTGCTTGTGTTTGCGTAATGCCCACGGTATTATTCACCCCGTATATATAATCACCTTTCGGCGTAACACACCGTCTTCTGCACCTCTATTGTTCAGCCAGCTGTATATATAACCACCATCTTCATGTCTCATGATTCAGTACAGACGATTCGTTGCCTTAAACTATGAGTTGGTTGATCTTTCGTCACAAGACTTGGTCGAGAATGATGTGGCCAAGTTTAATTTAACGAGCTATTGTTACTACTGTGCGTCTTATCATTTAGCCAAGTCAACGAAAACAACTGCTCTTGGCTGTCCGTCACAATAGTCCATAACAATTTGTATACATTTTACATTTTTGGATTTGTTCTTAAACGCCACATTGTTAGTCTGATAGAGACTACAGTTCTGGATAGCCTCCGAGTATCCAAGAACGTAGGTTTGCCTCAGGGAAGATTCTGGATACGCGTCGGTAATCCAGAACCGTGCATGGGCATCGTTCTGGACAAAGCACGTTTCTGACACCAAACTGTCTGTACAGATATCAATATTAGTTCCGCTGTTTGTATCGGAAATAAGGGCGTTTGCTGTTCATTATCAAACGGATGGACCTAGTTTTTCGAGGACATCGATAGACACATAACTAGTAACCCCATTCAATGTATTAATAAACATTAAGAACAAAAGTTGACGAAGTAAAAAATAATAATTACATGAAATAGTCCCAGGGAGCCATAGTGACCAGAAAGGTAAAACAAAAACAAAAAAGCAAAAGAAAATCTTGAAGTGATTGGTCATTAATTATCCTGATGAAGGCGACAGTGGTCGCTGAAAATTTGATCCCTGTAAATAGTGTGTTGGAATAAAGTTTCACGTTTTAGTATGATTACTACCAACACAGATGAACTTTCATGAAAATCTTCCCTACTTTTCTGGACTGAAATCGGGAACACAACGTTTTTCCCTGGGCCTAACACCGAATGGGTGGTTCTGTTATCAATAAGTAAATATTGATTATCAAACAAACAGAAGGACTACTCAGCGATATTAAGAGCCAAACTAACGGATACATCTCAAACTACGCTGAGAAATTAGCAGATGAAGTAAACAATGTTTCTATTTATGGTGTTATTAGACTACACCTCTCGTAAATTTACTGACTTAAATATATCAGTTTTCTAAATATAGTAACCCGTGGATTTTAAACGAACGAAAAATATTCCTTACCAGTGGACAGTTTGTTGTTACTTTAAATCTGGTGCTCTTTTAATTATATTTCTCGGCTTCTTATGTAACACATATTTTAATCTAAGATAAACACTTTGCTACAACAGAATGTCCTGTTAGGTTGAGGGTTACGTTGTACATGTGTATCATGTGTACCGAATGGTACAAGATGATTTTTGTGAATTAACCTATAGAAGGTAGGTAATTAAAGGTAGTCCCAAAGCCTTTTCAGGGCTAACCAGCTGTAGGGGCAGTAGGTTCTTAATCCAAAGGTGTCTAGGACACGGTATTGGAACAATGCACGTTCGGCAGTAACAATAATTAGTTTATTCATCAGTGGTATGTAGCTTTACTGAAGCACACTGTATCTAATGAAGGCGCTTGTTTCTTTTCGTACAATTGACCCTATCATCGAGAGGTCAGTGTAGGGCGGTTCCCATCTCCGTTTGGCCGGCTAGCTATGAAGCCTCACATCTGTGCTAGCATAGCAGTGATGATAGAACTACATTTCAAAGACTTGGCAAGTTGCCATTATTGTTTGCGCTCTCCATGCATTTGAATGGTGATGAAAGACCTACATCCACTACTAGAGAGACAAGGTGCAGGTCGTCTATCTAACATATAACACATATAGGCAAATATAAGCAATTATTATAGATGACTATGCACGATTTAAATTACATACATAGAAGACGAAAGTGATAAATTTCGTGGGAAAAATCACGTGTCCACAGCATTTGGGTCAGATAGCTGAGGAAGACTGAGTGATTCAGTCGAAAATTTCTGGTGAGTCAAATTTTGAGTTGGAGAAAAGTTTAAGTTTTTCATAAGAAGACGAAAGTGTTTTACTACTATTTAAGCTACGAGTAGACTTAGTTTTTAAATGTGTATGGAACAAAACCAATGCACAACTGACTCCGTATTCCCGCAGGTACGTCCGTGAGTGGGTGGGCGCCATGGCCACGTCAGGAGTGATTGACGTGGTGGACGTGGAGAAGGAGACGTTCTTCCTGCCGCGACACCGCATCCCCATCCTCCTGTCCCAGTTCCGCAGGTCAGTCACCCCCTTCTGCCAGCTGGCCGACTGCTTCGCTCAGGCCACAGGCGAGGTGGTCAAGTGCTTCGCCAAGGACGGTCCTACAGGTACGTTTGTAACTTTGTATATATAAAAAACAAGTAATATAAGTAATGATTTGCATATAATTTACATATACGTCCTGTTATTTGCATACACGGGAACATTTCTGTGTACATTTGCATAATTGTAAACTTACATGCTCCTCAACCCAATAGTGTTATGTATTTCACAACACCCTCAAGTGTATCAGCCTGGGTACCCAGGCTACAAGTGTATGTATCAGCAACGAGATTTTTTTATTTAATAGAGTGCCTTCTTTCCACACAATTCGGTGTATAGGGCGGTGTCCATCTCAGTTTCGTAAGCAAATTCCTAGGCCACATGTTTTTGCCTTTTGGTTGGCCTTGACTAGAAGCGCCTGGAAACCCCATTCTGAGATGACCTCACCAAGGCCAAGATTACCATAATCTCTGCTGAATCGTTCCCGGCAGTCTAAGAAAGACCGCATCAAAACGTTTTCTTCGCGTTCCGTTCTTAAAATAGCGCAGAAATCCTCGGGAGCCAGATGTGATAGTCAGCACATAGTTTGCCGGTATTTACCGCCTTTTGAAACTTCTGCAGACTTTTGGCTTTCAGAGGACTGATGACCGACAGAACGTTTAAAGATCTTTAAAAGGTTCGACAATCGAACACTGATATCCGCACTAGGTTAGATTTTGCCTTGCAAATGTGAGCATCTTAGCTGAAGATACGTTTCTACACAAATTACATTTGAAGATATCAAAGATTAATTCATACTAGCATAGAATGGCGTCTTTCAATACGGTTTTGAATAACTAACCCTCATTGCCAACTTTGATAATCGCTGTACGTACCTTCCTAGGATTTGTCATATTTCGGAAAATGCTATTTTTTAGTGTTATGATGATGATGACGATGATGATGATATTGGTGGTGATGATGATGTGATAATGATGATGATAAAGACGGTGATGATGATAGTGATGATGATGATGATTATTGTGATATGGATGATGATACTGATGATGATTAATACTTATCACAATTTCTTTCACATCTATAGGAGTTCCCTACTCGACCTACTCCACGCTGCAGGATGTGATGTACCTAGTGCGCAGGTCACACCACGAGGACACGCTTGTGGACCACTTCATCCCCACCATCAAAGGACTGCAGGAAAAGCTGGGTAAGTCTTATCGTGCAAAGTTCTGCCGTACGGGCTACTTCTACTACTGGTCTGGATGTCAGCCTTTTAGCCTTGGCATTGCTCTCCTTTGTTATTTTCCGTCTCCACCTATCTACAAAAAGTAAAGCAAAACATTGTCAAGCACATATATTTATCCTGATTTGATGCTACCATGATTGTTCTAAAAGAAATGCTTACCAAAATAAAAAAACGGCTTGAAGAACGCATAGTTGAAACGAACAAACAAATGTTCAAGTTTACGTGTTGATAGTGTTTTTCCAACACAAATATTGTATGTTTTCTTTCTTTGAACAGAATCCGGCATCCACGTCATTGACATCGGGTGCGGCAGGGCCGCCCCTTCCCTGATCCTGGCATCAAGGTTCCCCAACAGCACGTTCTACGGCATCGACCTGGACCCCAAGGCCATGGCAGCCGCCACCAAGGAAGCATCGGCCGAGGAGCTCACCAACACCTGCTTCGAGACACACGACGCGGCCAAGCTGCCCGCTGATTGGTCCAACAAGTTCGACTACGTCACCGCCTTCGACGCCATCCATGACGTGGCGTTCCCGGAAGATGCTCTCAGCGAGGTCCGCCGGATCCTCAAGCCGGGCGGGCTTTTCTCATTGGTCGAGATCAAGGGGAATTCGAAAATATCAGAAAACATCGGTAACCCTTTCGGCCCGGTGATGTATTCCACTAGCCTTCTTCACTGTGTGCCGGTGTCCATGCACTTTAAGGGGGGGAAGGGTTTGGGGACCATATGGGGGAAGCAGTCGGTTTGCTCCATGCTCCAGGAGGCTGGGTTTAGAGTCCTGGGGGTCATGGATGTCCCAGAGGTCCCGGAAGAGTGTCACTACCTTTGCCAAAATTGAAAAATGTTGCATCGGGACCAAGATTTGGTTTATACAAGTTGAGCGTCCGTTAAAACGGAACAAGCCATGTGTTTTGTCTTCACATGTGGTCGATGAAAATCAGACCATAGAAGAAACGACACCATTGCCGATACGGCCTCTGTATCTGTGTTGTGTTTTCAACTCACTGTGTCAGGTTGAATGCCACTATGCACGTTGCCTAAAATATGTCGTGGCCTACAACTGAACGACATCATTGCCAATGTGGCCATTCTCCGTGTTGTATTTTTAACTCACTACATGTCCAGTTAAAAACCACTATGCACATTGCTGTAAGCACTGGCCCATGACAAAGAGTTTACGAAGCCAACTGCCATACGTTTTATCTAATATTCAGATTACATTTCACTTGTAGTACAAAGACTTCTTGTATACGACCAAGCAATTTTCCTTGCTCAGAAATTATCACTAACAAAACTGCCATTCTAGGATAAATTATAGTAGATAAAACTGTCAAAGCCTCTGTCCGATTATTCAACTAATGTTTAGAAGCAGAATAGATTTCAAGTTTTAGACCATCACTTTTTATTGAATACTTTGAGAAGACTAGTATTGTTTATCAAGTCAACGCAGATGTTTGATACAAAAACTTTATCACAAATGCTTATACAATGTAGTCACACTTCAGTAGTGGAAAATTATATAAACATGTGCCACAGATATTGTACATTGTTGGTCATTAGTTAAGTGTGGAAATTTATGGCTATTGCAGGTTATTGCACTTTTACACTTTCCTATGAAGTATGTTGATCTTGAAACCGAATAGCTGATGAAAGAATGTACTAAATAGAGTGCGTTTCAAAGTTTTAATTGTGACATGACATGCGTTCATTGGTTGCGTGAATTAATCACCATTATGTGAGTTGCAGTGTTCTTGCCTACAGTTGTGGTTAAACTATTTGCGCGTAATTTACTTCTGTGACAGTATTATGATTATGATCTGAAATTTCATAATATCATGAAAAAAATTGAAAGAAAATGTTGTTGTCACTCCTCTCATCATCACATTGATTGTGGACATTAACTGCACAATTTCATCCATGTTGCCATGTATAAATAAAAATTAACAGTTAGATTTATTTACGTTTTAGTACAGAAATCCATGAACTGTATCCAGGTTTCCGTTATTGCAGTAAGTAGCCCGATCGTTGTAAACTGATTTAACGATGTAATCGTTCGTAAGGCCCTGACATCGATATTGTGATAAAACAACATATTTCGGTCACAGATAGTCGCAGTTAACCGTTAATTGGTGTATAAAGCCAACAAGAACTTTGTTAGCTTTAAGCCAACAAGTTATTTAGTATGAAAGTTCATATGTTTAGACTTGAACTTGTTATACTGTACCATCTTACTGTACCATGTTCTCTTATCACATTTTCTATCCATGTGATACGATTTTAAATCCATTTCATTGGAAGTATGCTTTTTGAAATAAACATCTGAAATGTGATTTTCCTGTGTCAGAATCTTTATGTCATGTGTTATCATTTCCTAGTTACATAGATTCGTTTTAAAGCGGTACTTGTTGTGAGCCTGTGGCAAAAGGCTAAAAGATTATTTATTCCACCACGATGGCAAGAAACCAAGTCAAAGAACATTTATGCGAAAGGTGTCAAGGGGATCTTGTGGTCAGGGTTTGACTTAGAATCTGAAAGTTATGGGTTCGAATCCCTTGGCAGACTAGTGTTGCGCCCTTGAGGAATGCTCTTTAGACCTATCCCCATTCAGATGATCTGAGAGGAAGTAACTATCTTAAAAGATAGTTACTTCCTCTCAGATAGAAAGGAAAGCCGGATGTTCTGTGTCTGAGGAAAGCCACACCTTGTACACGTCAAAGAACCCACCACACTTATCGAATAGAGTTTTGGGGTCCATCCCTCTGCGGGTGGATGAAACCTTACAGCCTGGTGTTACATAGCTTGTACCTACCGTACAAAACCGGTGTTACGCAAAAAGGCGATTTATCAGCTATACGAAACGAACAAATTAAAATCCAGGGTCTACAATTACTCTGGCCTTGGATTATAAAAAGCATACCTTCGTGACAAGTACACGTGTGTAACATACCGTCCACGTGGCCTGCTGGTCTAACACTACAATGGGAAAAGAACATACAGTCTGGTTTACTCATAACATTCCACTAACGGATTATAAACCTATTCCTGGCGCCATTTCCGAACCCAGAGTCTTCTATTTATCACCTTCAGGCCGCACTTCACGTACAGTCTTGACAAATACTTTCCTTCCTGTTATACGTATTACTGTGCCCAATTATTTATCTTGGTGGCTTTAACGCAAGGCTAACTAAATTTAGATGCACATCAAAAAGGGTAAAAATAAACGTTTAAGCTATTTTGAGATGCTTGGTCTGTAATTCTCATCCGTCTGGGCTATTTTGGTCCTGAATGATGTAATCATCGGTAGTTTGTCTGGACGTTGACTTTTGAACCACATCATCTGTAGTGAACAATATTTTAGATCTGATTATTTATCCCATTTATCTAGTACTGAAAAATAGTTGACTGTACAAAGACGTGCTAATCGGTATTATGGGAATACGTGTAAGTTATTTGTATATCCCATTTTTTCACATTATGTGCCACCACAATTCTCTATATGCTGAATCAATGGGATATCATTTATGTTGTCTCGATACCCCACATCACATAGTGGACATATTAACGATATGGTTATGTGCTTAGCAACGGATCTGAGAAGGAATGTTATCAACGTGCAAACAACACTAAAGTCTTAAGTTGATTAAGGGCCACGTCTGGTGTCTGAAACATTCAAAATAAAGACATGTGCATGTCCAAAGAATCACTCCTTACAAAGTTAAGAAACGATAAATATCATAGAACAATACACGAATACATTACTCTCAATGTGAAAGTCATAATGTTGATGAAAAATATAGAATTTGTACTTAAATTCATAGACACGGACTTCCCAAAAGGTTATGATTATTCACTATATATAGCAGTGCTTGACTGCTTTGTCATTAAGATTTTTAAGATTTTTGTGAACAAATGGCCTTTTTGAGCAGAAGCACAAAGGGACGTATCTTTAAGCTATCAATACCTCATCAAGTCTTTCAGCAGGTGATATAATAATAGAAGCAATATAATCAACTCCCTATTCAGAATGAATGCCTTTGAATTCCAAAGAATGCCTCAACAATGTAAAAAAACTTTAAAGACGAGATACAGCCATATTCTCCCCATGTTGGCATAAATAGACAAAAAAGTATACTATCTATGGAATAGACTAAGCAAATTATATTATCCCACACCCACTATAATTACACAAGCAGTCCATCTTCCCCAGGCATATCTTAAAATGAAGTAAGTTGTTGGACCGGTTAAACACGCTAGGTGGAGTAATGATATACTAGAGGTCTGCAAGATATCCATGCCGTGTTGTCTGTATATGACTGGGGACAGTGCTGTATAATTCATGTGTTATCTGTGTGACATTCGTGCAAGCTTCTGTCACCCTGTGAGAAAAAGTCACCCAGTACCGTCTTTGTACTTTGTTACTGAAGATCCACAAGAGTGTCTCAGACCTACATTGACAACAAAAGTCGCTTGATGGGTCTTCATTACACAGCTTTGATGCACCTACTGCTACCCATTGTTAAGGACTGAAAAGCCATGGTATGTATGGAATGGATATGATTAATTAAAAGGCTTCACTTTATGATGAACCTGGTATTTTTAACTCTTCACTGTATGATGAACCTTGCGACTTCGACATTGTGTTTTCTTCGTAATAATAATGTACGCAGTTGTGAGTGTTCGTGCTGCTAAATCTTTGACCTAGAACATCACGTAGATAGCGACGATTTCTGTTAAGGGGTAGCCATATGCATATACGTCATATGATTGTCTGTTGAAGGAATTCTACGAGGCTATGACCATAAGAAAGAAATATTCCGGTACTTCCCCCTTTCTGTTATCATACAAGCTGTAGATGATGTGGAGCAGATCTGAACTGCCTGTATGACCAGGGAAATCCAAAAACATATTTCCTTTAAGTTGGTGTATTAAAGTCAATACTTGCATTTCTTGCAAGCTGTATCATACTCGCAAAGTGGCGCTTTTTAGTTGTCGAACGGCTTCTAAAAAATTTACCTCCATGTCTCGGTCGTAAACAATTCAGATCACCACCCAGGCTATCATAGATAACTTCGTTCAGTAGTACACGAACAATAACATAATATCACAACAACACTTAAAGTATCTTTGATGTACTTAAGGGCTATTCCATTTGAAAAATTCAGAGAAGAGGTTGTCAGAAACGTAATAGGATAGTCCTGATTTATCGATACCAAATATCTGTCAAAACGTATAAAACGTATCAACATGGGGATTTTTTTTATTACAGACCTTTGACAACAGTACCCGTGTGGGTAGGATCTTACAGGGCCTGGATAAGTGGGGCGTGCTGGAGCAGACGGCTGTCGGGTGTGCTGCCTTCATCTTACTCAGCCTCGTTCTTCTCTTCATTCTCGACTCGTGCGCCAAGAAGTGGAGGAACAAGGAAGAACTTAATCACCAGGCAGAGAACAATATCAAGTGGGAGCTAGAAAGTACAACATAGCCGCTAGTCTCTGGACCATTTTTGATCAGCACGCAAGAGAATAAGAAGACGCGAACAGCAGTGCTTCGGATCAAAATACTTTGCTTGACAAGATTTCAAAAATTAGCTGCAGGCTTTAATCTCGTTTGTAAGATTTCCTTTAATATCTGATAAAAATGCTCATACAATTATAAGGCAGTTGTCTCCATTGTGTTGAGAACTATTACTAAGTGTAGCTAAAAATGACCTAGTCGAGAATGTTCATTGCAAACAATCCAAAACAATTTATTGATTAAGGGGTTAAAGCATACATGTACTAGTATTTATAGCAAATGACGTATTATATTTTGTGTTATATTTTGCTTGACATGGTTTTCAAAACTTTGCTGCAGGGTTTAATATTGTTTGTGTGAGTACCTTATCTGATAAAAATGCTTACACAAGGTAATGGTCGGATAATTGTCTCTATTATGTTGAGAACTATTACTAGGTGTAGCCAAAATGACCTTGGTGAGAATGTTGATTGCAAACAATCCAAAACAATTTATTGATTAAGGGGTTAAAGCATTCTCATAGAAAATGACATGTGCTATATTTTGAACTAATAAGAACTTTCACATCTGAAAACGTACTTATTTGACTATAACATGGTTATACATAATTTTGGACGTTTGAAGGCAAAAACACCCATTGTACTGTGCACTAATATTAACTATTTCATAAACAACAATTTAAATTTATGTTCATATGTTTTCAACCTTTGATAACTTTCATCACAAAGTTTTCCCCTGTGCTACAGTCTATAAAATCTATTAGAAACTTCATGAACACTTAATCACTGTATGTACAGAAAGGCTTATGATTGACATAGCACTACTTCACAAGGCTTCCTATGTTTCTTCAATTCTTTTACAAAATACATCAAGATTATATATCAAGATTATATATCATGACACTAAGTACAACATTTAGTGATTGATATACATTCCTTTTAGTACACAACAGCAACATCAAAATAGAACAGAGCTGTATCTAAAACACATGATCATGCAGAGGACACTTCAAAGATATCGCAACTAGTGCTACAATGTTAGATTTATGGATGCTTTTTTTTAATCATTTCTATATGTTACACAATTCTTTAATGTAAAATATACATTGTACAGCAAAAAGGAGAGCTCTGATGAAGTAATAAAATTATTAGTGATAATAAGATACATTCAAATGTACATATGCATAGATTATGCTTGACTACAAAATGTATCTTTAACACCATGATGTCATAAGTGTTTCTGCATAACTGATCGGTATATATCTCATAGTATTGGCAACTTAGTGGTTGGTCTTACAAATAAAGAGCACAATTCACACAAACTAGATTAATAATGATGCCAAGTGCCGCCTACGAGGAGGATCTGCTGTACATAACAGCAGTGTCACTTCTTCTTCTTCGGAATTGCTCCACTGGGTGCTACAGTGACAGATAGAAAATGTAACATGTTAACAGTATTGTCCATGACAATCACAAGAGCTATTAATAAATCAAAAAAGGGATCTATGCAAATGGTAACAATTCATGGCATTGCTTACTCATTTTCTGATGTACACAGTGCATCGTTTTTTTATATAGCCGTACTTCTGGCATTGGTATTTTAAGGTTAACTTTACAAAATACATACGCTAGCCTGGTGATGTTTTTTTCACAAACTGAAAATTTATTACATTAATTTAAGAAGTTAACTTGCTTGTTAAACAAGCTAGGTCATACAGTTGGAAACTTTGTCTTTGTCGTTTTTAATATCAACTTGTAAGATTAATCATTATAAAAAAAGTTCTTAATAATGTTTATAGAGAAACTATTATTTCGGAGATAGGGCATTGCATCTTTTCACACTGAGAGAAACTGGACTATTTTTTATCATAGAAACCAAATCCTAAATGTGACTTCAAGAAATGTTAATTTACACAATTGCAGCTGATTTAATAGACAATAAAATTTTATTGCATCACCAAGATTCCAAGACCATAGCATGTTCAGGATTACAAAAACCGGACGTTCTTTATATTCTTTTTTTCATACAACAAAATGCACTAGCAATGTTTGTTTGGTAAACGTACCTTTACTTGATTGTGTCTTCATCTCCCGAACAGCTTGTTCAGAAATGTCACAGAGATAGGGGATGAGGACCAAAGCAGAGCCAACCTTTTTTGACATGTCCGTTTTAGCTACCCAATCAAGCTCAAAATCATTTACGTACTTCAAGCCTCTTCCGTTCTCTACTTCGTCATAGAGAGTGGAGAAATCGGCTTTTTCTGCCAACTTGGAATTCAATTCTGTCATAAGTCCATGAACAGGGCGGTATTCTTTTAACTCGTTTCTGATGTGCTTCAACTTCTCAACCAATCCCAAAATATCCCTCAGAGCCCACTGCTCTTCATCAAGCGACTGCTCTTTAGGCGACTGCTCTTTAGGCGACTGCTTTTTAGGCGACTGCTCTTTACGCGGGCAATCTTTCAGGAAGTCTTTGATGTCTTTCAAAGATGTTACTTTCTCTACTGATGATGCCTTACTACTTTGACTCTTTCCGAGCTTACTACTTTGACTCTTTACGAGCTTACTCTTTGCTACTTTCTTCAAGGCTTCAAACAGGGTTAATTTTCTCATTTTCAGCACTTCCTTATATTCCTCCCTGATGGCGTTAATATTCCTGACCTGGGAAAAATAGAAAATTGTTGACATAAGAATAAGAAATTTATGTCACGTTTCTTTGTGCCTTAGAGTGTTCACACATACCATAAATGTGACATGTAAAATATTTGATTCTTTCAATTTCAAAGTTCACTAATGTATTCGTGACTAATCAATTAGCCGGGGCAGATATATAATTAGAACTTGTACAAACTTAGAACACCCTATTACTGGGGGGAGAGGGTTCAAAGTGTTCATACTCACTATGCGTCCAACAGGGGTTTCTGGATCTGTAACAATAAAAAATAGCACTTCACCACTCCAATATTTTAGAAATAAGTTCCTACCATTTAACACTAAAACGTTTCGGCACTTCTGATTATATAGCATGCAAATCACGATTTATAACCATTGATGATCTCCAAACAAATAACGTCCAGATTATATCCAACTTCAGTGGATTGATGAGTTCCTCAGCTTAGATGTGCTCTTCATTAATATGATGATGAACTCAACAGCCATCCTAACACTAATACTGGCCTTCAATTGTAATTCATGCAAGCAAAACTCACTCTCATGACAATAGGTACATGTAAATTGAAAGCTTTACTTTAATTTCAAAAGCAGGCAAGATGTAAAATCCTGCTGATTCAAAATAGGTGTGAAATCGCCATTAGGGAAGGCTGACAATTACATATCGATGTACATCTAGCTAGGTACGAAGTAATACACAGGCCAGGGTACTCACCTGTCCTCTGTGTCTCTGTTCTTGCCACACTGTTCACTCTGCCACTGACAGTTACAACACTGATGGTGTACAGGGTTCCTGCTGTCAGACCAGTGAAGGTGTACTCTAGTGTGGCTCCAGCGTCCACACTTCCAATAGGGTTGGTGACACCGGTAGCAGGACTGATGCTGATACTGTAGCTGTCTTTGGCTCCCGGTGCTTCTGCCCAGGTGACACTGATGCTGTTTTCTATCACTTCAGCAATAGTCATGACACCTGGCTGGGCTACGGCTGGAGATATCGGAATGATGAAACAACCGTTAATGCTTTAATCATATTTCAGCATCATCTAACCCTAAAGTGGCACTGCCTGATATCATGCACATATCCCTTTTTATATTTGGAGGTAATACGTGTATAGAAAACTGGACATACAATGAATATTGTTACATATATCAGAGTCCATCAGTGATAACTTTTTAGGAGTGTACTATAGAAAAGCCTGGCGGGGCAAAAGAAAACAACCTTCAGGTGCCAATGTGTTAACAACTTGAAGGACGCCAACAAGTAGTTTGCTAATCGGGAGGTGGTTTGCTTATCGCCAACTAGTGATGGCGGTAGTTATTTCAAATAGCAACGAGATTATATCTATTTAGTTATATGTATATCAAGGCAACGAATTGGATTAAAGCCAAGGTGTTTCTGAAACCTTGATAGCTGACTGTGGGTGTAATCTTTGACCAACATTATTTAATTTAGACACGTTGCAAACAAAAATTTAAAAAGTAGACCTATAATTGTATATCCTGTATCAAGATTTGTGACACTCACCAATCTTCGACAGTACGTCCTTCAGGATTTGGTCAATGTTTTCTAGCTGTAGCGCGATAGCTTCAGGCCAATCTTTTGTAAGCAAGGCCCTCAGGTTACCAGCTTCCTCTGCAACACAATTCAGATAAAATAACAATGATATTACTAGGATATGAAACTGTTGAATGCTAGAAAAAAGGTTTCAGAGAACCAAACTAAGATATTGAATTTGATTTAACAGTATGTGACCAGGTTGTAAATGACCTAAATCGACTGTCTTTGAATATTCAAAAAAGTCCTGCAATGAACATCAGTTGTTGAGAGCATATTAAGAAGACGCACATACATACTTTGTATGCTCTCAATTTCCTCCACGAGGTTGACCATGTCGCTCATGTCCAGAGGTTGGTCTCGGAGATTCTGCACTTTCCGCTCCAAATCGCTTACTTTAGCCACGACCGCTGACTGTCCTGTCAAAACCTCTTTGTTGTCTTTGAGATGTCCAGAAACATCAGAGAAGATATCCTTGATTTTTTGTATTTGGTCCTTTAATTTTATAGCCTTCATCAACTCGTCCTGCTTCTGACTCAGCCTTGCTTCTGACTCGTCCTGCTGCTGCCTCAACTTTAGCACCTCCTCCAAAATCATCTGATTCGTTGTATCATTGCCTCTGCGAGGAGAAGAAATGACATTTCTAATATATCTGTGTACTATCAGTAATAACTGGATGACTTCCACTAGACTTGTGTCATCATGTGATAACCACCAATTAGGGCATAGGCTTGACGCTATCACTGTCACTGTGCCATATGAGGCAAAAAAGTCCTAGTAGTCATAATTAACAATTAGTTGATATTCCACAATTGCTTTTATTTTCAATTATGTTTTGCCATCCATCAAGTATGCAATGCCCAGGTTCGTCCAAAACGATTCATAGCTGCTATTTGTAAATGACATTTTGTGGATAAATATTAAATAATAGACAGGATTGAATATGACATGTATTGTTATTATTATCATTATTTAACATGTCCAATGAGAGAGCCAGTTAAAAGTGCTGCAGCAGGTAATGTTACAAATATCAGGCACATACATGACATGGATATGTAATATGAAAGATAATTTCATATATTATACAATACGTATATATTGTCGAAGTACCTTGGAGCATCCGCATATTCGTGAGAGACGGTTTTCTCCGCACCCGTGGCTGCCTTTTTACTTTCTCCTGTTGTGCAAGTAGATATGAAAAACATTAATAATAGTTTAGGATTATCTATCTAGTATACCTAAATCAAGAAATGAAAACTTTTCTGATATAACTTGAGTTGCTCTCTTTATATTTTAAACCGCTTATTAAGAAAGGTCAAGTAGAAAGGGATGTGAAAAAAGACAAAGCCAAATGTCTCGAGAATTATTGCCATATCTTCCTCCTTTGATATAATAATAGAAAAGTACCAGATGTCTCCTTACTCGACATGGTGACTAGTAAATAGTCTTATGTGTGTCAACAAGTGTGCCTTATGTGTGTTAACGAGACAAGTAGAGAAGGCTAAGATGTAGATAGATATCAATTATGCAAACAAATACCTAATTTGATCGATGGTGCTGATTTCACCGTGGTAAATGGCGTGAATGTCACACTTTGAAAGTGAGCATTGGTAAAAGATATCTTGTGCAAATAAGGACCTTATTTGTAGACTTGATGAGGAAATACTTGAATAGCCTTTGTTAAGATTTATTTAGGGGAAGAATATGTTCAGCTATCATTATACAAATGAATACAATATTTCCATCATCAATGACAAAAATTATTATTCATTCAGTAAACTTTAATAGTTAGAGAGATTCTATTTTTAGGCATTCATTAATATGATAGGCTATCAATCCATGACAAGAATGAAGATAAACATACATTTCCATCCAAGTTAGTAAAGACACCCAAGAAAGTAACATTTCTGTAAACACTGGCTTCCTTTGGGCATGTAACATGTGTACATGGTAAAAGGAGGGAGTGTACTGTACCCTCCAATATCATGCCCATGACACATTAAATTATCAACCCTCTAGTATTATGCCCAAAACACATTAGATTATCAACCCACTGCACCAAAGGAAGAGGTTTTTTTTTTACTTAACGCCTGTTTTATTCGCAAGATGTTGTTAGTCTATTATCACTAAGGCAGATATAGATAAGACAAAAGTTTCCGTGTAGAAAATAGTATTTGTTGTACCTACCTCCACTTGAGGAAGAGTCATCTGCTGGAGCTGTGGATGGTTGCTTCAGCGTTTGGATAGCTTTTTCAGAAAGGTCACAGAGATAGGGGATGAGGACCAAGACTGAGCCAAATCTAGATTTACTTGAGCTATCCAGCCCCTGCAAACCAATTTGCTTTAAGTAGTCAGATCCTTCACGAACTGTTCTGTTATAGAGATCAGAGAAGTCCGCTCTGTCTGCCAACATATTTTTTAATGTGTTCACGTGTTCGGAAACTTCTTTGCATTTGGCAAAGTGTTCTTTGATGTTCTTCAATTCTTCAACTAAATTCTGGATTTCAGTTAGAATAGACTGATTGGATTCATCGAACAAATCACTTTTTAGAGCATCTTTGATGTGTTTCAGCGATGTTATTTTTTGCTTTGATACTTTGTTGCCTCCAGTCTTTATACAGTGAGCAACGTTCTTGAATGCCTTTAACACAATCGCTCCTTTTCCCCTAGACACGCATTTCCCATAGTCGCTCCTGATGCGAGTTATCTGCCCGGATAAAGCTGTAACGGCAAACACAATAATCGATCTTTCACATAATCAAGTTAGTTCGTCCCTTAAGCCTAGGTCACAATTAAAGAAAGGGGCCCGCTCGGCGCGTGTTCTGCCTGTTTTTCGGCATTACCGAACGGGACCTGGGCGGAGACCGGCGACCTTCCCGACGACTGTCGGTCTATTTTTGGCCCCGCGCGGTCGCCGAATTGATTTTAAGTCAAACTAGAAATCACTTCGGGCCCCGTTCGGCAAGGTACACCGTAGTGAAGCCGTAACCTCACTGTCCGGGACCCGTCAGGCGGCCGAACAGGCACCTGCCTAAGATTATGACGTCACATGTGCTGATCAGTGCATAAGGTGGTTAGGAAAATGGGGTTATATGGGGCATATGTAAACTCCTTGTTCAGACTACGTCGCACAGTTCACCATGTGTGTGCTACACCGTTTACTTGTGTGTGTGTTACTCCGTATACTTGTGTGCCATAATGCCGAAGGGCAATGGAAAACAGCCGAGACGACAGCCCGGCATACATGAACCTCAGGAATGAACAGTGATATTGTGTTGCATGTGGGCTACCCTGAAGGCAATTTTCGAGGATCGGTAGCTGTTCCCGGTCGCTAAGAGTAGGGTAATAGCGAGTTTTAGGCATCTGGAAAGGGCTGCTTAGCACTGCATAGAATTAAACAGAAGTGTTACATACAGACTGGACTGTAATATCTAAATTTATTGTTATTGTAAATCATTATGAATACATTGAAATGTGTCAAGAAGTAGAGGGCATTCACACAAAAAAGCACTTGCTCTGGACTTTTCTCGATGGACGGGCCTACACGGTGTGGGAGGTCGTGAAACATCTGTGGTTCCATTCGTAGGAAGGACTTAAAGTCGCAATGATGTTCGCGACATAGCTCTATCATCAGTGACTCGTACTGTCCGTACACGGGTCTGCGCATCAACCAGGGGCGAACCCACCATCGTCTTTTGCGACACACCAGTTCTGCCTGCCTCTCTTCTCCAGCCACCAATGCCAGAAGACCTAGGTTGTAGTGGTGACGCGCTATCGGCAACTTTAGTGTACTCTACACGTGACGTGGCAGGCAGTGCAGCGCTTATATATATATATATATATATACCGGCACAAAAACACGACAGGAGCCCGTCGGGATCCCACCAGGGGCTCGCCAGGATCCCACTGGACCCCGCCAGGGACCTGACAGCTGCCCGGCCGAACTGTAAGAGCCGGTCGGCACCCTACCACACGCCGCACGGGTCAAGACGAGAGACTGGCCGGGCACCGGACGGGTCCCTGACAGAAACCGACCGCCAAGGGGACCACAAGTTTATGAATATTAATAAGAAGCCGCCGGCCGGAGCACAACCAGGCCCCGACGGGGAGCCGTAAAGGATCATTTAATTGTGACCCTGGCAGACGGCGCACGCTCGGCGTCATGACGCCGGCCAGCGTCTACGCCGAGGACATGCCGAACGGGCGCCGTTTCAAATGTGACCTAAGCATTAGCTTCCTGTACCTACATTTTAGCCACGGTCCACTGTACACCTGCGCTCTCCTCACACTTCGTATGGAGACCTGTAGTTTAAATCAAAGTTTACTTTGATGATCACGTAATTTAGTCCCTGTTCCTACTTGTCTCTGCTGGTGTTGATGCGAATGCGTTATGCATTTTCTATTACACCACTGCCCTGTACACAACCAGCAAATAGTGACCCTTCTCATAATACAATAATCATGTTGAAAGTAGTAGGCTCCATCTTTGATTTTAACAACTTGTCTGAACAAGCCAGTACCAAATTCTACTACATAAGGTTCACCTTCCGCGTTCCCAGTAACTAACAGAAATATCTATATGATTTTGCCCCAAGCCTATGATTAACATTTTATCGAACATTTGAAACTGCCTGAACAGAGATAAGACTGTACAGTAGCAAAGCCTGATGGGGTAAAACAAACCCTTCAGTTGTCAATGTGTTAACAAAAGAAGGACGCCAACAAGTGGTTTGCTTATCTTGAGGCTATGACCTAGTGACGGCAGTAGAAAGCCCGACTTATCTTATGGTAAATAGCAACCAAGTTATATCAGTTATTGGTTTAGGCCACACCGTTTTAATTTGTTGTTTCTCGTTTTTTTTTTCAGGAAAAATATAAAGCGACAGGGCTTCATAAAAAAAACAACAAGCCAAGGCACCCCATGATAGCCGGAAATGTTACAATATGAGCCATAAAGTGAACATACCCTCTCCCTAACCAATTCTTCCCCTATGATAACTTTCAACCATTACCTTTAATAAAAGCATACTCTATCTATATTGTTGAATTGCTATTACATGTACGCTTCACTGGATGCATGCAACAGAACACACCCTGGTATGGAAACACTCTTGTTCGTGCAGCATGACAATGACGACAGTAGTAAAACACGAATATGCAATTATATGCTGTATACTTTTTGTTTTATTTGTTCACATCACTGCACGAAAAGTTGGATTTACCAAAGGTAGTAAACTCAGGTAATGTTTACTATGTACACAGTATCTGGCTTTACAATCGTAGTAAATAAAGGTCAATTGCAATTATTATTATAATTTCCTTTACAACCCTTAAAAGTCCGGATTTATTGTACTTGACTTTTATTTACTGCCATTGCAAAGTTCAGAAGTGTTTATTAAAAAAAAGTAAACATTACCCAACAATAATGGCCTGGTAAATCTAAGTTTTCGTGCAGTGATATATTCTAAGAGTGTCGGGCAAAAAGCACAATTGCTTAATATATAACTCCTTCTACCCGAAAGCAGAATATAAAACAAGCCTAAGAGTAAAACATAATGACAAAATACATGCATAATTATATGCATGCATATCGATTATGAGAATCTACCTGTACTAGCCTCCTTCACAGACTTCTGAGGCGGCGGTGTTAATTTTTTTTGAGGAGCGACGCGAGTTATGCCGCGGAGGGTCTTTGCAGGATAGAGACCCCTGTTCCCGGCCAAGTCCCTTGACGCAAAACCGTCCCGCGGCATAACTCGCATCTCTCCCCGAAAAATATTAACTTAGAAGTCGGCAATACCTGTACAGTGAATAAATGTTTGAAATGTACTGTCAATCCTGTATACTTGCTACTCACCTTCCTCTATGAGCAGTTTCCCAAGGAAGTCATACCCTCCGGTCATCAGTGACTCACAGAAACACCAAAAAGCCTTGGGCCCACTTCGCGGCAGTTTGTCCATAAGCGCCGAAGCCTTGCCACGCTCTGTTCCGTCCCCTGACTTTTCTATCTGTTCCCATTGGTCAATGTCAAAGATTCTATGCTCAATAAGGCTGTCTTTGACACGAGCTACATCCAAAACTTTCACGATTTTAGTCCGATTTCTTCGGAGTATGTCTTCGTGTGCTGGATCCATCGTGAAGACTACTAGCGGTGTCACGAGTGAACCTGGCGTAGGGACGCGGTTCTATTTGATTATTGTGCTTTGAACTTTATGTTGACTTAGGAAAGGGGTCAGGAGGTCCAATCAACAGCCGCAGCTGACACACACCTACTCGTTTTGAGTGCCTTGAACAAGACGACATATAGCTACTATACAACAGTGAATCCTCAGACCACTTTTCTCCGTCTTTGTGCCACAATGGAACGTGCTGATATATATTTCCATCCGTTGGGCACAAGAAACAACTCGCAACATGAACAACTACGTTTACAGAAGAGTCGACCTGAGACAAACATTGCCCTGCCAGTATACCAGATCCCTTGAACGATAAGGGCGTACAGTAGCAAAGCCTAAGGAGTTATGAATCCTTCAGTTCTCAATTGAAAAGAAAAGAAGGACGCTAACAAGTGGTTTGGTTTGCTTATCGGGAGATCTGACAGCTGTAGAAAGCCCGACGTACCTTAGAGCAAATAGCAACCATGCTGTGTCGGTTCCTAGTTTAGAAAAATAGGGAAGGTTGAATACAAATTCTTCCTCCGAACTTCTCAAGTTGAACATTCTTAGTCAATGTATGCGGCTAAAAGCACAAAGCTTTCAAGAAAAATATTCCGTTGACATAGATCCCACTTCTTTACTAGACTTAAAATTAATATGCCACGAACTAACGTCTGAAACAAGATATATTTTCAGCAATTCAGCATCATCAAATCCAAATCTCTAGACTATTGCGCCTGTATTCCATAAACGGTGGATAACCCGGATTTTGTATAGAGAATAGTTAAGCATAGTAATATATGAAAGAAGAAATCATGTTGAAACAAGAACTTTGTCTGATAGGAGTAATAAAACATATTTCTCCACAACTCCAACTTCCTCCTCCTTAAATGCACTTTAAAACTAGTCTTGATGATATCTTCTAATGCTTTCTTTGGTTTTCCCTGACAATTTGAATGTAGGCAAATATCTTGCTTGCTCTAGTGATTTTGAAGCCCTCCTTCAACAGAAGCTGCGTTCTATTCCCCTACCTCCATGGTAAGTGATAAGATGAAAGCCATTCAGGGCAATTTTATTGTCATTACCCTCCATGAAAAAGAGATTTCTTTATGGTTACCGACAACGTTATCTGTTACATCTGGTACTTGGCACCCCACGCATGAAAAGACGAACAAAGTATGTGTACCTCCGTAACGTTTCCTGGTTACCCTCTTCGGCGATATCACCGGCGACAACAATATAGGGGGAATTATAAATACAGCAATTGCAAGTTGTTTTGGAACGTTTTGTAATGTTTTTGTAATTTATGGTTACCGACAACGTTATCTGTTACATCTCGTACTTGGCACCCCACGCATGAAAAGACGAACAAAGTATGTACCTCCGTAACGTTTCCTGGTTACCCTCTTCGGCGATATCACCGGCGACAATATAGGGGGAATTATAACTACAGCAATTGCAAGTTGTTTTGGAACGTTTTGTAATGTTCTTGTGTTGCTGTTGCCAGTTTTTTTTTTTCATTTATAGTCTTTTCTCAATATGGCGCACCAGAAGCATGACATATGGCATGAGGTGTCAGCAGAAATGACAAGGCGAGGAAAAAGGGAAGAACTTTTAACAGCCTCCAGTTTAATTCTGGACTTCCAGTTTGCTTCCGGACTAATTCCTACATCTCAGCAACCTTACATCTAGATGGGCTAATATCGTAAACTATAGGTAAAAATGATGTAAGAAATACATGGTAGCCACCAAGGACCCCTTATGGATTAACTCAATTCTGCAGAATTCTTAACTGGTACCAGAATTCTGCGGAATTCGGAACTGGAGCCAGAAATCTTGGACGAATTATGACCTTAGGTGTGCTACAGTGCAATGTGAACCAGTCAGAATTGCCCTGAGGAAGACGACACACCGTGAGACGGCCACCGAAACGTCGGTTGTAAATAAAACACTTGCTTGTGAAAAAAAAGTCTCTTTACTTAGTGACGACAAATAACCATACAGCAGTGAATAATATAATCCTAAGGAATATATAATAAGGATTGTCTTTTGTTTGCAATTCCTCCCAAAATGGACCGCACTGGTTGTCATCAGTCGAGCCAAAGAAACAAGTTAAAACTTAGCATGTAAACAAATAAGTTTATAGCACAGTCGACATAAAACTAGTCCACGTATACAGTCCATCAGAGATAAGACTGTACAGTAGCAAAGCCGGATGGGGTAAAACAAACCCTTCAGTTGTCAATGTGTTACAAAAGAAGGATGCCAACAAGTGGTTTGCTTATCTTGAGGCCATGACCTAGTGACGGCAGTAGAAAGCCCGACTTATCTTACGGTAGATAGCAACCAAGTTATATCAGTTATTGGTTTAGAGAAAAATAAATTTATCCTCCCGACTTCTTTGTATATAAAATAACTCCGTCGACATTGATAGTACTGGGGAACAGCAAAAAATACCATGATCTTACTTTTGACTTTTTGTAAGCGCAAATAGGATGTACAAGAAACATGCACCATGTTATTTTCAAGTAGTGACAGCCCCTTTTGTTTTGAAGATTGCACTGAATATTGTTAACGACTGCATTCAGATATAGAAATGAAGTTGAATAGGAATGCATCTGACATCAAACTCACATTGCTCCCTTACAATGTAAGTCCTTCGGATCTTTTACTAGTATTCCGTTGCCCTCAGTTAAAAATCAATAATCTGCACACAGAATGACCCTAGCTTTTAAGGTAGTGAAAGGTGGAAATGGCATGGATACAAAGTTCTGCTATACAATGCAAACAAGTCAAAAGTTCAGATCGTATATCATCTCTTATACCGCACAGTACACTTATTTTTTACAAGATCATGCCGTTAGATTTAATGATGGAATGAATCAATATGGTGTGTTTGAATGCCCCTTGAAACACTTGGGCGCGAAGTCACCTTTGTCAGTACAAAGTATAAAGTCTTCCCTCCAAATAGTCTCTTTCTGTCCTGATACATTCCTCTCAACATGGAGGTAGAATTGCTCTCACATATCAGAACTAAGGTCTGAAGCATGTAACTGGATAGGTGGCACACTGCAAAATAAAATGAAAAGAATGACAACCCGAGACCCTTAGAGAGATAGGAATTATTCATGATCAATGCTAGGCAACGTGTGACTCACCACCTTCTGTGGTACAAGCTACATCTGCATTCATACACTGCCATGCCATGCTACATGTAATGCCTGCAACACACCAAGGACACGAATGGGCATGTAAAGTAAAGTAATCATGACAGATAATGATGCAAATATTAATCATTATTTATTACCATCTTTACATAATCAGAATGATGTAAACAAATATAGATCAGTGATTCTATTCTATGTATGAAGTGTACATTGAAAGTTACATTGAGCATATTACACTGAATAACTTTTGTTCCAAAATAGTGGGCATTTAAAACTGATGTACATTGTACTGGATCTCATCTGCTTTTGTTATTTTCAACTACATACATATGAAATATTGAAGTTGTGTTATGATTCTATTTACATGTGTAAGGAATCTTTATAAACTACAGACTACTTATATTATTACATTATACATTGTATAATGTTAATATTTGTATGTTTATACATGTTACTAAATCATATTAAGTTAAACATAAAATATACACAGGAAGATGTACTGAACAAACAGCCATCTGTAATAAGCATCTTGCTGTACACTGCAGCAGTGTCACTTGGTATACAGTTCTCCTCTGCTAGCTGTCACTGTGAGGGTGATGGTAAAAAAAAGGCGTTTTAGTAGTATCTTTCATCTCTCTCCCTCTCCTATATATCATTATATATATCAGGTATATCATTTGATAGGTCATGAGTAGAGACCACAGGTTACCGGTTTTGTCATTTTGACAAATTGTGAAACATGGTAAATATGGTATTACTGACAAACATAAATTTCTCACCTTTTAATTCCTGATAGCTGGTCTTCCTGACCACTGGTCTGTTTGGATTTCCCTGTCCACCTGTTAATGATGGCAGTCTAACTGCATGAGCTGTAAAAAGTTACCATTCAGTTTACAATATGGCAAATCAGGTGCTTTAAATAACTGGAATTACATGCACTAACTAATTCACAGACAAGTACATGAAGTAAGTAAACATGTTAGGTGTACTAAGGTGTTCAGTGCAATGTAGCCAGCTGCCGCTTCACTGCATGCCTGCGAAGCTGGTGTGTTATGCCGAGAGGCAGTTATACAGGCTATACAGATACAGATGTTCGAATATTCCTCACTAGTTCTGACACTAGAAATATGGCTAGGTTTCCTTAATATAAAATGTAGTCAATTAGATGTAATTGACAGGCACCTCTTTCTGTCCAAGCCAAGACTAATACAATAGGAGTACCCACTGTAAAATGTTGTGTTGACTGGATGTCAATCAGTAGTGAGGGTGAAGACAGACATAGATTCACAACATACAGAAGCATAAAAGCAGATACCTGCACTTGGAGCACCAGAGATGCGTGAAATCTTGTCTGCCAGGGTGGATAGACCAGTGCTCCTACACGCCTGCTCAAGGTGCTTTGCTGTGGCATTACTGCCATTCTTTTCCCTCCACTTCCGAAGGAGTTCAGACTTCTGTTGGCCAAAATTGTCTCGTGCAGCGCTGCGGATTTTGGTGCTCTCTTGGTCAGAGAATCCCAACATGCGGGCAAACCGTGTGAATTCCTTGAACTTTAGTTGTTTTTCTACCATGTCTATAGCTGTAGAGAGTTGTCGACCTAGTATAAGACAGAAAAGGACCTGTCATTATTCACCTTTTAACAACAGGTATAGTCAGTAAAAAGTACAACAGACTACATAGAGTAAAATATGACTTGTGGACATACATTGTAGTGTGTAATTGGAAAATGTCCAACACTTGCCATCACTACTTGCTAAACTATATGTAAAATGTGCCACACAATACTATGCAAAAAAAACAGGCAAACACAGAAAGTCAACGCTACTGCAATGTTTGCTCCATGCTTGTCAGAATATATTTATAAAAAAATGAAATTTTATTGCCTTTCTAAGTCTACAAGTTTATGAGAACAATTATTGTACAATTCTGTGGTACAATGCCTAGTATTGTACAATTCTGTGGTACAGTTCTGGGACCTGTAACATCAAGAGGATTACTCTTGATGTGTGACTGTTCCACTCACCTAAAGAATCCCTTTCCAGTTTCAGCAGCACATCCAGGAGGTGCCTGTTCATCTGTTCTAACCTTTCTGTGATGTACAGGTCCCCATCCTGGAACCACTCCTTCAGCTCAACTACTTCACCTGAAACATGAAGCACAATATATAAACTTCTGATCAACTTGAACTTGACATGATCCATTGACCAATTACACACAATATGCTTAATTTACATCTAGCATGTCAATAAGTCTTAATGGTCTTGTTTGTAAGTTTGGGTGGAAGGAGGGAAACCTAGTATGGTTCTTTATGTAGATGAACTCAGGTAAGTACTGTCGGTGAAATTATACTGGTAGTACTGTGGATGACAACAAATATAAGAGGTAGAAAAGGTCTGGTACCACACACTTACTTTCTACACCCTTTATTTCCTCCATCAGTTTGGATCTGTCAATCTCCTGCTCTAGAAGATTCAACACTCTCCCTTCCAGGCTGCTAACCTTGGCCTCTAGTACAGTCTTTTTCTCTGTCTGTCCTCCCAGGGCCTTCTTTATGTACTCAAGGTGGTTGGACACATCAAACAGACTAGCCTTGATGTCCTCATTTTGCTGCAGTAGTAGTGACTGCTGTTCTATCTTCTTATCCATCTGGTCGATCTTCAAAGCCTGTACGTCCATCTTGGAGTTCAGTTTTTTTATCTCCTCTAGAATACCATTGCTGGTGCGGTCCCTGTCTTGAGAGTACCGGATCTGTGTTTGTTCGAGCCGGCTGATTCTCTCTGAGGCACGGTCAAGTCTGGACATCATGGTGCCTTCTATGTCCACGTAGCTCCTACATTACAGATGTGAAATTCAAGTAAGGAAAATGTTTCATCCTTTCGTTTCCTTCTACTTTATATATGTGATAGATACCATCCCATAACCAGTACAATGTACAATATATACATAAATGTGCACTAAATGAGATGCAATAGTTTTTTTCCCAACCTTTGCCCATTTCTTTACCTTTTGCAATTTTACACTTTGCTGTGCTTTGGACATGTGCACCACCTAGTGATTAAGAGAAATACTGCACTTCATATGGTACTTCTGCTAGACAAGGTCGAACCAATGGTGTACAATCCTATGTTGTGTTGTAATACTTTCGTTGACGAACCTTGCAGAAGATTGGCCTTCAGGTAAGAACACCTCGTCCTGTTCAGGGTAGGGTGACATCGCCACTCCCTCTACAACCACGTCACTGAATGGCTCCATCCTTTCAGCTGTGCAAATACACGATAGTCAATTCACAAAACTTCAGACATGTGTACATGCAGTGCAGAGATGGCAGACTTCACCCCCTTGCCTATGCTGCCTTGCAGTGCATCCAGTCCTCAAAATAGCAATGCTAAGGATGTATGGCAAAGTTGTGCTTATATCAATTGAGAATAAAACACAAAGACAAACACACAAAATGCTTCACTCGCCTGTTGTTGCTCACCCTATTCTAAAAATTGTATGATGACATTATAAAATGGCTGCTGAAACTAAAATCTAAAAATGTTATCACATCATAATTCAAGGAATTCATATTTCTGTCACCTACCCTCACTTGAAGGTGAGTTGTCCACTCTGTCTGCAACACGTCTCTTTGTCAGTTGGACTGCTTGTTCAGAAAGGTCACAGAGATAAGGGATGAGGACCAAAACTGAGCCAAACTTGGATTTACTAGCAGCATCCATCCCTTGCATGCCAAAATCTCTCAGATAATCCAAGCCTATGTCAAGAGTTGTGTTATAGAGAGTGGAGAAGTCAGCTCCTTCTGCTAACATAGAAGTCAGCTTGGTTACATAGTCAGGAACTGACCCGTCTTTTTGTAACTCATCTCTGATGTGCTTCAATTTCTCAACTAAGCCCAGAAAGTCTGTCAGAGCAGACACATTGGATTCATCAAATGAGGGACTTTTTAATGCTTCTTTGATGTATTTCAGGGACGTTACTGTCTGTTCTGATGCCCTTTTGCCTCTGAGTTTTTTAAAGTGGATTACTTTGTTGAGTGCTTTTACAAGAGTGACTCCCTTCCCCCTTAACAAGCATTTCCGATATTCCTTCTTGATGTTGTTGATTTGTCCACTTAAAGACTGGTCCATTGTTTGAGCCTGGAAAGAAAACATACATCTTATAAATACACATAAAAGGAAAAATGGACCTAATTCTTCTCTAATTCTATTGGAGTGTTCTTGTAAGAACAGAGATGGTAAGAGAATAGCCTTGTTATTGTTTTGTATATTTGAAATGTTAAAACATTTGAAATACACCACAGTACCAAGGCTAATTTTCCATTGAAGAGTACTATAAAAATCCAAACTGACATGGTCTGATTTTTTAATATCAGTACCATACTTGTAGTTTTAGTACACCTGTACCAAAACTGCACCATGTTTGTCAATTTGGTGCTTGAAAGTTACAGGTGTGCCAATGAAAGATCACAATAAGAAACATGATCCCAGCCCTTTATATACATCCTTTGTCCCACCTGTTGTTTACATAAAGATTACACCGTAGCTACAGGCGTTATCCGTGTCTGGTTTTGAGATTTTAGATTCAGGATAAAGGCTGATTTTAATCAACACCTTCTCTTCTCACAAGGTTTTCTTCTGATGTAAATGTGGATTGCAAAAATAAACATTAGACATACAATACAATTGTAGCTAGTAAGTAGGCTCAAGTTGTGATGTTACTTATGTTGGATTACACAAACACTTTCAATCAGATGTTAGAGCCAATCTTGTTGTTGCAAATATGCAAACTGAAACATCCAAGTTACAGTACCTTCTTGTCATTTAGAGGACTGTTCCTATTCTTCACTTTTAAACAGATTGCACATATTAAAGGCATCTGAATACTTATTACTTACAGTACTAGGTGTTCCTAAATGCTACCAACGGGGTTAGAAATAAAACAGATCTTACTTGGCCATTTACAGCTACTTCCTCAAAGAAGTGGTGACTAGAGCTTGGTGTTCTCCTTCCACGTGCTTGGACAGACTCTAGTACATGTTGCTGTTCAGCTGAAAAAGCAAAAAACATATCGGTATCGGTCATTCTCCTTAATTTTCATACATCTAATTTTTCTCTATCTTTTGCTGGTAATCGTCATGCACTACTATTATTTCTTACAATTGTCTAGTCTCAGAAGTGTGAAGCATGAAAAAAGCATGACTCACAAATATGTACTTGAAACCAAGATGCACAGTGTACTTTCTATGATCATGTAAAACTGTTTTATATCACCCACCTTCCTCTGTCAATTGTTCCCCAAGAAAGTCGTACTCCCCCGCCATAAGTGCCTCACAGAAACATGAAAAAGCGTTGGGGCCGCGAGTCGGCAGTCTGTCTAGGAGCCTGGACGCCTTTTCTCGCTTCGACTCCCCTCCCGCCTTTTCAATCTCATCCCAGAGCTGCGTGCTGAAGACTCCATGTTCGATGAGGCTGTCTTTGACGTGAGCTACGTCTAAAACTTTCACAATGTCCGTCCGATGTCGTCGGAGTATGTCCTCATGAGCTGGATTCATCTTGAAAAGTGGAGTGTAGCAAACATATACAGGTACAGAAATAACAGTCCTGTTTGATGACTGTAGTGCAGAGTTTATTTTCACCTTGCATGGGGTGAGAGAGAGTCAATAGAAAAGTCATGAATGCTCTGGGATCTCGTTTCACTTTTGCTCTCTCATTGCAAATCTCCATACATCAAAACATTTGTTCTTTTGTGGTCTCTTGGACACAGCTGCAAAGGGGAAGATAATGTTTCTATCACAATACCCAAACGTATTGTGTATTAACACTGGGTTTAAATGTACACCTATTTGTGTACACTTGGAGCTGAAACTCACTGTGTGAACGTGTGTGTGTGGCCATAATGACCTGGACAAGGTTATGTATCCTTCCATACCTACAACATTTAAACAGCCTACAATGTAAATTTTACATGTACATGTATGACTACTTTTAAAAGTAAGAAATACATGATACCTTTTGTTATAATGTAATTGGTTATACTTTCTTCCCTTCCTCTGTCAACTATTACCCAAGGAAGTTGATTAAAAACAACATTTATAACTGCACAATGTGTAATTGTAAATCTTTTTATTCACTGGGATTTTGATACCTAAAAATGTAAAATAATATGACTTCTCTCTAGAAACTAATGTCTCTGTAAAGTAGTGTTTTGGAGGTCATATAATTGTTATTGTTAAGTACCATAGAGGTTTCATCCAAATTAATGTACATGTACAAATATATGAACATGTACTGCTCTCAGTATACTAGTAAGCTACTAACGTATGCAAATATTTTCAAGCACATAGATATAAAGGCAGTCTACAAGATAGTAATATTTATCGTTTTATAGATCTGGAGTTACTTGTCACCCATTTTAGGTATGTTCCAAAACTTGGATTCATGAACTTTTTGATATGTTTTGTGCTATGGCATGTTACATGTTTAAGTACACTGTACATAGAACAGATTCTGCATTTTGTGAGAGCCTAGTAATCTGCCAAACATTCACATATACATGTACAGAAGGTACATGTGCTTTACCATGATTGAAAAAGAAAAAAACTATGACAAACTAAGATTACATAACCAGTTATAACCAAAGACATTTGTGCTGATCAAACTTAACAATACTTCTATTATTGTTATTTGGTCAGAGTTGCTTTGGCCAACATTGCATCCAAGATTGATACAGTCTAAATAGTATTATTACTGAATTACTGTAGCAATTCTTTGACAACCAACTTAATACATCGACCTGCAATACTAGTTAGTATATAGTGTTATTGAGCCATTTTAGCTCATTGCATTGATGGTCCTTATGTAATTCATGATCAAACTGACAACGTGCAAATTTGATTTAAAGCCTGTAGTTTGCTGAACACAAGTATTGCAGTGGTGGCAGTTTGAAAACATCTAGCAACATTCCTAGCTAGTAATCAATCATGCTTGTTAGAATGCAAAGAGCATCAGTCATGATTGTCCATATATTGTTATATCTCAAAAGGTGGTGTTTGTATGTAATGTTTTTTAAGTTCATAGGTTTCACTGAATGTTTGCTGGCTGCATTATTGAGTTGAATCAATAACTCATGGATTAGGTTTGTTCTTAAGAATGTGTAACAAATAGAAAGTGGACCCAGGAAGTTGAAATAACCACATTTCTTATCATATCTCCATACAAAAACATACTACTTGAGAAAACAGTTCATTTGCCTAACCATCTCTCAAAACTGTCAACAAACAGGCTTGACATAAACCAACCAAAAGTTCTTCAGTTTTCCTTCCTTTCTAAATTCTCAACCAAACGTGAGCCGAACTCGAGAAATAAAGAAAAGTTCAAAAGTATCCATGCCTCTGTGGCTGCAGCCTTGGTTTTACATGTCCTCGAGTCCAGGGATGGGGTAAGCGATGGCAAAGGCCTCCACTTCGGCACGGAGGGCGGCAATCTTGGAGGAGAAGGGCTCCTCAACCATCTTAGCCTTGAAGTCCTTCAGCATCTTTCCGGACACAGTCTGGATCTCAATAGCCAGGGTAATTGCTACAGATGATAGAAAGTTATATATAATAAGCTTAAGGGTCAGTAAGTAGATGAAAAAATCACAGTTCATGAATAAACAATGGCTACAAGTAGATGTACAAGTGTCACACACATAAACCAACTCCTAAATTGACAACAGTAACACTATCATTCATACATTTATTTTTAGGTCCTGCAGGGCTTGAAATTCCTTTTTAGGAATAGGTGCACTGAGACTCAGTCTAATTATTTAGATGTGCAGAAAACCTTTCCTAACAACCAACCTCTGTCAATAAAGTCTGTGACTTTCTCGAAGTCCTTCTCCACAAAGCCCCGAGACGTCAGTGCCGGGGTTCCAAAACGAAGACCACTGGGGTTCAGGGCACTCTTGTCACCTGTAAAAACACAGGACGATTTCATTGTTATGTTCAGATGGACAAAACAATATGGGAAGGATTGTATGAGATATACAGATGCTGTTCCAATAATACTTTCTTTCACAATTTGATATAGAGTACCTTTGTGATCACATGTCTGATTATTAAGAAATAAATAAATTCTAAGCAGGACTTTAAAGGACCTACCACACTTACATGTATTAGAAAGAGTAGGGGTCCATCCTGGTGTAAGCAGATGAAACCTTACAGTCCAGTCTTACATGTAGCTTGTACTTATTGCACAAAACTGGTGTGTGATCAGTTTACTCTTTATATGGAACAAACAAAAGTCACAACCACTACTTGTTTTGTGAATTACCTGGGCAGGTGTTCTTATTGCAGGCGATGGAGACCTCCTCCAAAATCTTCTCTGTCTTGGAACCATTGATGCCCTTTGACCTCAGGTCTACCAACAGCAGGTGATTATCTGAGCCACCTGTGAAAAAAAACAAGTAAAAAATATCTTTTCACTTCAAGTGCGGAAGATGATAAAAATATCTAAAAAAGAATTTTTTTTCCAAACTGTACCTAGAAATACAAAAAAACTATGATCTCGTACAACACATTTAGTTTTGTGGACAATGATTGAAAATTCTTTTGTTATTGCTACAATCATCTTCCCATCAAATGTTTTCATTTTGTTCACCAAATTCGGTTGAAGTAGCACGTCGGCAGAACGTACTGCGCCTGCGCAGAACCCTGTATTTTCACGGTTTGCGGTGGACTTTTGGTCAACATTGCATCAAAATTTTGCCTGTTGCAGAAGGTATCTTTTCCGACATAACATTTGGAAACTACAGACGGGGTGTTAACCTTATATGAGCGAATACAACCTTATATGAGACGTTCTACCGAAGTGCTATGCACAATATATTACGGGTTTCACGCAGGTGCAGTACGTTCTGCTGACGTGTTGGTTGAAGTTACTGACCTGTGACCACATGGTATCCCTTGTCCATCATCAGTTTACACATAGCCTGGCAGTTCTTGATGACTTGTTGTATGTAGGTCTTAAACTCTGGCATGGCAGCCTGCTTCAGGGCCACAGCAACACCTGATAACCAATAAATAGAGTAGGCAATTAGCCTGTAGATGCATGTTCAGGGCTTTGGGGTATAGATGCATTGGCACACCTAACCTAAAAAAGTTAGGTGCACAAATTTATAGCAAGCCATTCATTCAGTTGATCACAAACACATATAGTTTATGTTATGAAATCTTTCCAACTACCATATACACCAAAACAAAATGATGCTTAAACGTTAAAGACACCTACCTGCTATAGCATGGTTATGTGGACCTCCCTGAAGTCCAGGGAACACAGCCTGGTTGATGGGTGACTCCAGGTTATACATAACCGGCTTCCCATCCTTCCCAACACTTCTCACACCTGGATAAGAACAGAGACATATCATCTTGAAACAAACATTGTGATTGACTCATAATTATAATCAGATAGAGTAGAATACTAGTAATATGCTCTAACAGTAATTCAGTGAGAGGTAGCAAAACATAACTTAATACGTGTAATTTATAGCGTGTATTTACGTATGACTATGTGTTAAGGTTCAGGTGGCCAAGAACAGACCCACATGGAAAGAAAAAGTCATGGCCTTATGTCTAGCAAGGGATGAAGAGGATAAGTAAGTAAGTATATTTGTTCAAAATATCTCAGCTAAGTATAATACAGAATCTCTATGCTTATTTCTTTTAGAATGTTTTGCTGACAGGGCAAAATGAACTGAGGTCAACTTTGTAAAGGTAAAATCTCCATAGTGAAATTAATTAATTAGTGGTTAATGGAAACCTTCATCATACCTTTCCTGAAGAAGATCATGCCAGCCCTGACGCCGCGCAGGGTCTTGTGCGTTGTGGTCGTCACAATGTCGCAGTGCTCGAAGGGCGAGGGCACCTCCCCGGCAGCCACCAGCCCCGAGATGTGCGCCATGTCAGCCAGCAGGTAGGCGTTGTTCTCGTCCGCAATCTCACGGAACTTGGCGTAGTCCAGATTCCTGGAGTAACAACTGATGCCTGCAACAGGGATACAACAAATGAATGAATGGACTTTATTGCTCAACAATCGTAGAGGGTACAATGTATGGCTTCACTGACAAAGAAAAATACCAGGGACCTCCCTAAACAATGGAGCAGTGGAGCTCCTCCACCCAGTCCTTATCTCAGCTCCACCCTGTTAATTTTCAAAACTAGTATTTTTACACCCTTTTCCAGGGTTCTTTGGTCAAATTTACCGATATTTCGCACCCTCCTCCATTCTGTCCTAAATTTCTGGGGAGATCCCTGAATACTATAACACTAATCTCTCCTACATTTATGGCTACACACTACAAGCAACATTATAATCAAGTATGGATGATCTGAAGTACAATAATGACCAATGTTGGTGGATATAGAAGCTGGACACCTGTGCACCAAACATGTTAAACTGTGCCTTAGAGGTAATACTAGTACTCAGACAGTTTTTCTTTACATGTATGTATGTGAAGGACAAATAAGGAAATTCTTTGACACATACATTTACTCTAACTATACTTATGTTATGATTAATAATTTCTTCAAACCAGATAACACACAAGAAACGTTGGCAAAGGCACAGTCTCTTTGCCAAAGGTACAAGTACATGTACATACCAGCAATGATCATCTTGGGGTGGAAGATGCGTGCATTCTCCCGCAGCCTCTCATAATCAATCAGGCCTGTCTTGGGGTCCACCTTGTAGGGCATGGACTCAAAGAACACGGAGGTGGCCGAGATCTTCTTCTTGTCTGTCATGAAGCCGTGAGTCAGATGTCCTCCGTCTGGGAGATCCAGGCCCATAATCCTCCCATGGGGCTCCACAACAGCTGGAACAAGAAGTCAATAATCTCATACCTACATGAAATATTGAGAATTGCTGTGAATCCCTCATTTTATTCGTTATTATGAATTTCTTGCTGATTCTGTCCATGCATTTTCCAACTGGCTTCTGTAAGGCAACAGACGTGCATATAGCCAGATATTGAGGACAGGAAATAAGATAACCTTTCCTTGGACCTTTGACCTAACTTTCTATCAACGTCTCTTACATACAAAGTAGGTGGAATTAACATTTAATATTGTACAGAAGCTTTACTAGTTCTATGAGTGGCTGTGGTCACTTGTTTCCAAGTTACATGTATAATACTAGAAATACACTATATATAGGGTAAAGCCTTAAGTACAGACATTTTTCTGAACACTCCTCTAAATGGAATGACTCCTACCTGTGAAGACAGCAAAGTTGGCAGGTGACCCAGAATACGGTTGCACATTAACTCCCCACTTCTCTGGGTCCAGGCCGTAGACTGACAGGGCTCTCTTTTGGCACAGGACTTCAATCTCATCCACAAACTTGGTACCTCCATAGTACCTGTAGCCAAAACATCATATCTTTACAACACACAATTTTTCTCAGAGTAAGGCCACACCAATTTAATTTCTTGGTTAACGGATTCGCCGCTTCATTTTTTTCTGATTTGCAAATAAAAATAAAAATTCAGAATCAACTGCAAAATGCTCATATTTTGCCCTGAACAGTTGAAAACAGTCCTTTTCATACTTCTTGTTAAAGTCATTCCATCTTTCAATGCTGTGGTATCATTAAAAGTTCAAAATTTTGAACCAGCCTGGTGTGTTGACTTCATGGCTCCTATCTTACAATTTTGGGTCATAATAGGATGTCTAGGCCTGTTTTTATTATGGGTTCACCACACCACGAAGTGGTGTGGTGAAACCATATTGCTTTTTCTGATGTTTCTTCTCCTTCTCCTCCTCCTCCTCCTCCTGCCATATCTTTAAATGGATTCAGCTTCTTCATTTTAGGGCCTAAGGTCCTGAAATTTGGTATGGAGGTACAGTGGGCAAATACCCCTAGGCGTTTTTTAAATTATTGTGATACAGGCTTTTAGAATGGTTTTATTTGAGTTTTTTGGCTGTGTAATAGCTAATGTATTACTGTGTAAGTGTGCAGTGTTTACCACATTTGGACATGAGTCATCACAATGGCATGCAAGGCATCAACCAATAGGCATGCAGCTTTCCTCTATTCTCCTTGCTGATTGGCTGTTGGGATTTAACTGGCTTAACTTCATTTACACCTGCACAGAGCCATGCCATACTGACAGTATGTCTGTATTCAAGTGTTTTGGTAGGTATTTTAAGCTTTCCTGCTCCAGCATTGGAATGCGGGCTATGAACGCTTCTTTTTATCTTGAAAATCAACAGTTTGCATTATGCAATCCTAACCAATAATGTAGGGAATAGCTATCCAACTGTTGTAGTCTTAGTTGTATGTTACTTCATACTATAGTTATATCAATGTAAAGCATTGTTTTCCCTTGTGTTTCTCATTCTTTCCCTGCCATGTCGTAAAATGTGGTGAAGCCATTGCTGTATTTGCTCCAAAGCAAATATTGGCCTTTCTAGTTTTAATTTTTTTTTCGCCCGCCCGCTCCATTATTTTTGTAGAAAAGTCCGTTAACCAAGAAATTAAATTGGTGTGGCCTAAGGTACATGTACATGTATATCTACATGGTTATAGCAGACTTGTCTTATCTAACCATTGTTCAGACCATTGAGTCTGCAGTTGGACAGCATTCTATCATTACCTAACCAAACCAATTAAAGGACAACAATGAAGAGCTGTCAATATACAATGAGAGAAATCTAGAACACACTAATTGAAACTCCTGGGGGCATAAAATGCCTGGTTGCACAGAAAGTCCTGTAGTCTGAATTAAGAGACATTCTGTTGGTGATAACATGTTCTGGTACTTTGTTACAATGGGTGAAGAGATTTAATCTCAGTTTTGATAATATAACATTGAATTTGTTTTGACCTACCAAAAGGAACATTATTCTGTTTATTCTGCAGCAAATTCCAAAGTCCATTGTAATTATTGTTGGCTGGGGACAACTCCCTATCCACGCCCCCAGAGATTACCAATTAGGGCCAAGGTCCAAGGACCAAGAAAGGTCATACAGATAAGGGTCCAAGTTACTGGTACATGTTCGTATGACCAGTGGTAAACAAAAAATGCAGCACATCAATACTACACTTCCTACAGCAAGAGCAGACTTAGATCACAATGCTTTCAATGCCATGAACGAAGAAAAACCTACCTCTGTCCAGGGTAGCCCTCGGAGTACTTGTTGTTGAGACAAGAACCCATGGCCTGTAGACAGGCAGCACTGGCAAAGTTCTCTGATGCAATCATTTCCAGTTCTCTCCTCTGACGGTCCTGTAAGTTATACATAAAATCTCAGCATCATTCAGGTACATTTTAAACTAACTCTACATACCATAAGAATTGGGACATATGAAAACAGAGAGTTACTGTATGTGAGGATCGCAAAACCTGTACAGAAACAAGAAATCGAACAGGGACAATAAAGTTCACCCTATTTCCTGTGTCTGGGCTTTTGATCCCCTGCCATTATGCCTCCCCATCATACACACAAACATACTGTCAATTCCACCCAAAACAATACTTCCATACCCAAAAGTAATTAAGATTTTTCAACTGCTCAATTTATGGTGCCACTAGTACTACATGTACCTGATCAATACAATAGACGTGTACACTTACAACTTAAACAGAATATGAATGGCTTCCGATATAGAGTCTGAATAAAACTTTGCCCTAACCTTTTCCTTCTTGATAATAGCTGTGATTTCTGGGTCCACTTCCCCCACAGGTTTGGTGAGGTCCCACCAGTCACCTGCTGTGTGGCCATTGGACATCTGCATTGGTTCTCCCATGGTGTCAAAATAGATTTTTCTGTGGAGGAAAAAAAAACAACTTTCATTTAACATGGCAATCAAATTTGGCAGACTTAATCTAAATCTCTTCAAGCAAAGTCAGAAACATAAACATGCAAATATGCACACCATGTACAGACTCACAAACACGCGCACACATTCAAACACACACGGATAACTTGGGATGCTACTACAATCCAACAATTTTGAGATGAAACAATCAAAACCTTTCTGAAAAGAACAACTCAAATAGCTTGACTACACAATGACTAAGAATACAATTTTCATGCAAAGACTGTAAATGTAATAATCAAATGAAAATACACCAATTAATAGTGTTGCTATTAATAATGATAACATGAAGTCACTGGCATCAATCACACTAATTCAAAATAATTCGTTCCTAAGGTGATTGCCCCCTAAACTTTTATTGGGATAGTCCCAAATTTACAAGGAGCCTAACGTTAGCCTGAAGAGGAAGACTATCTTTTCATGGTTATCATGAACGTTATTTTTTCACATTTGCATTACTTATAACTGTGTAGGACACTGACTGATCTTCTGCACAATTGCAGCAATCAAATTAAGTTCAAATCAATCTGTGGAATTTTCCGCATGCGACCAAATCTTCGCCCACATGTTCACCGGTAAGGGGGAGGGGGGCAAAAAGAAATCAACGTTTTTCATTATTGGAAAGGTTTATATTTGGCTGCATTAGTAAAAGTTATTTGCCTGAAAATCGGGGGAATGTTCAGCTAAGATAATACACGTCGGATTCTAGCTATGCCCAACAAATTACCGCAATTTATTACTGAGCTAAGTTTGTGGACAGGCAGCCGACATTACGAAACAAAAAAGCGCGGTAAATCGTTGTAAAGTAGTCCCAAACTGGTCAAAAAATGGCACAAAGTAATTCAGATGCTATCTGACATTCTTAGCGGAGAAAGTCTGACCATACTTACCGCTTGTCTGGTCAAAACAATCAATATTTGAGCTCAAAGTCCGGCACGTCCTTCCCTCAGAAAGCGCGGGAGCAAAATGGGACGACTTTTCCCGGCAACTCATTGAAATGGAAAAGAGGTGAGACCATTATTTTTGAAGGGAATGTTTGCTAATAAATCCAGCAATATGGTGATCTATATAAAGTACCATGTAATATTGTCCTTTAAAAGGACAGATTCTAGTTTTTGGCATAAATATCTTTATCTTTTTAAGAATAGTTTGCCTTTTAAAGCCATGTTTTATAAGATTAACGTTGATTAACACCCCTTATCAATAGTGAAATACTCTCCACGATTTCCGGTGAATCGCTTCCGCCTTGGTGCTGCCATTGGCGGGAAAATTTAAAGTCACTCCCTGTGACCAAAAGTCTGGCGTATTTCGGGGAAGATATTGATTAATTCTTCAAGGCGATCACCAAGGCTTTAGGTTTCAGGTAAGACTTGTGGTTTTTTTTATAAATTCTGGTCAAATGAAAGGACTTATAAGAGAACTAACTAGCGTTATGGTTGCATAAAAATTATGATAAGATCTTCAGTGGAACGCAACTTTATATAACATAATACCATTTCAGGAATCTCTCTTCTGGCAGGAAGTGCTGGTCATCTTTGTCTTATCTATTTTATCGCCAGTACCTTTGGAAGTCGCCAGGTGGCATGGATGAGCCGACAGGTCACGTAAACTCCAGCCAGCAGTGGCCAGTCATCGTCAACGCCTCTCTACAGAACAGTGACGTCACTAGACTGTTGCAGCAACAACAGCACAAGACCAGGGGTACGATGCTCTTAGAATGTTACATCGTACTTGAGGGAGGCCACATCTTTATTTTGTAAACACCTATTCCAGCTAGCCATAACTTTATGGGCAAGGCAAACAATTGTGTTACATGTTTAACCTTAAATTCATGATTATTAAAAACGTCAAAATTGTTACTTTATGAGTTATTGTGTTGTGCCTGATTAAGTATGTTAACTGTGCTCTAACTGTATTGTATTGTGGCAATCGGAATAAAATGAATGATTATATAATCTTTCAACTATCCATTTTTTTCCAGTTTCTGACACCACCCTTCGGCACACCTGCATCTTCCCCCAGTCTGGAGTGGCGTTTATGATCATCCCTCTTAACGAGTCACTCACAGAATGGCCGCCTGGTGGCGACTCGGTCCTGGACAGTAGTTTAGTGGACAGGTACATAAAGGAATATTAGCCTGGTTACCAGACCTAGTTTAGCTCCTGAGTCTTGAAATCTCCGATACAATTAATAGAACGTTACAATTAACAATGACATAGACCAAACCAGCTTCGACAATGAAATATAATGAACGTTCCTTGTATAATCGTATTATTGATGATGTATGCACGATATATTTACAATTTACAAACATGATTTTCTTCAGAATCGAGAAGTTCTTAGCAGTACATCGCAACTGTTACCTGCTGACGGCAGCCGCTCTTTACGGGCACCACGAAATGGCTGCTCTTTCCACTCTGCAGAACAAGTAAGTCCGGACTTCCTTTTTTTTCCACAATATCGGTAATCAAACGTCTGCACTGCCTACAGTTATCACAAGATTCAAAATGTGACGTTTTGCAAAATACTGACTTCACTTTTGACACAGGTTTATGGATAGGAAGCTGTACCTGCTACCAGCACACAACGCCAGTGAGTGCGTGCAGTCAATGACAACTATTGCAAAGGTACGTGGATGGTGTTATTTTCAGCACCAAGGAGAGGGATAGTATATATAATAGTACAGGGTGGGGAATTCGAAGGTAAATTAGCACCAAGGACAGGAACTGTGTTACAATTGTTGTGTGGACTGTATACACAGTACGCCACTCCTGTTAACCTCTCTGAGTCAAGCAGACTCATTTTTTAGGGGGACGGGGTCTTAACATTTGCTATTTTCTGGTACTTAACATACTGTAAATACCTCATATTCACGTTGTACATTAGAACCAGGGAATCCATTGATGTGATCCATGGCAGTGTATTGCGAACCATAAATACCACACACGCAAAAGGGAATTCTTAAGCTATTGTTCTTGTTGAAATTCAACACGCCAGTTCGTTATAGCAGCATGCATTCAATTTCAGTAACATTTTAAAGAGATCTATGAACAAAACGATGAAAAGGAGAAAAGAAAAATACAAAAAAGTGAAGCCTACAGCACCCGGTGTTCCCAGGCGGTCTCCCATCCAAGTACTGACCGGGCCCGACGTTGCTTAACTTCCGAGATCGAACGAGATCGGGTGTATTCAACGTGGTATGGCCGTAGGCAGGTGCGACAAGGTGTAGCTCATCTATATAGTCACCTTTGTTTGTTCAAAGCTGACTTCAAAATTGAAGAAACGATGGTCAACTGGTTTGTAATTCACAACAAATAGGATTTGAAACCGTTTGCGACGGTCAGTCGGCCCCGCACTTGAACTTCCGGGATGCGCCGCGATGAACACCTGAGGATGACGTCATCCCACAATGCTCTGCGGTATAGCGGGAACTTCAAATCACCCCCACTAGAACCGCATTAAATTCATGAAAGATCTAGATTGTTAGTTGCGATATTAAGGAATCTTTTTGTATCTAATATGTTTTCTTATGTTGTTTTAGGCAACCTACAAGCCATCGTGCGAGATGATACGTCATCGGCTGTGCAAACTGCTGGCCAATCAGGTTTCAGATGACATCGTGCTGCAGATTATTTCCAGGCTTGGACTCAGTCAACATGGTAGCAACCGTCTTCGTAGTAAATAGTTCGAACTCCATAGATCCATCAATATGCATCTGGCACTGGCAATCACAGCAGTTCAACCAATGAACGAACGGCAATTCCTGGTATAGCCAATGAGAGAGCGGCTACATGATGATTACAAACCTACACGTTCATTGATAAGATTGAACCCTTGTAGATCTTTTGTTACAACATTTTGAGTATTATTAAAGAAAAGTGTTATCCATCAAAGATTTAAAGTTCATTTAATAATTTAACGACATAGGTACCAGACAGACTTGATCTGAAATTCATCGAACGAGTTTCTCTCTGAATGTCCAACACAAAAATTTTTGGAAAAAATGTTTTTTTCTCCTTCCCAGAGTGCCTTGTGCTTCAACAGGGCCTAGGAACCATGGGAAGGGTGGCCCTGGCCAGCCGTGAGGAACTGTTAGACTGTAGCCTGGACTCGGAGACAGTCAACAGGGTCATCAAATTCTTCGAGAAGGACTGCGTAGTGATTTGACAGAACAACCTCTTCAATTGCGATATGCAGCAATAACATAAACAGGACAAACACACTTCTGTCACTCTGGTTCAAAGCTGAGAAAAAAAATCGATATCAATAGTCAAGTTACTGAGAAGATATTCCATTATATGCAAATGAATGTGTATAACCAAGGAGGTTAAATACAAGTATTTAACCTCCTTGGTATAACATAACATCGTGCTTTTAGATAGTGCACAGTTTTCAATGCTATATCAGGTTCGGGCAAATGTTTATGATATTACTCGACACACAATTGTCATTTCTATTATTCTCATTGTTAATTTGTGCTGTTTCGTATACTATATTAGATGAAGACGCATTGTGAATAAGCTGAAAATAAAAGCACAACAAATGATTTAACGATGTACGACTGACGATTTATAGATGTTTCTCATTGATCATGTAAACGTACGTAAGGTCCTTATATTTGCATAAACGAGTTAATCATAATCTCCACCCGAATAACAGGCTTTAAGATAATCTTAAAGAAGGCCATTCAATGATTTCTTAATCTTCGTAAACTACCCATCTAAATTCCTCCATCACGTGCAAACATTGAAAAACTTTAGACATACTGTGATGGAACGATGTTGCAATGACCAATAAGAGCGAGGCACGACATCACGTGATATCCCATGAACGACACGACTTCCAAGACTTTTGGCAGAGACAAGAGCTACTCTTTTGGCAATCGTTTGGATGACACAAGTAAGAATATTACTTTCTGTGCTGTACTTTTCTATTTATTCGACTATTGTTTGAAACACACGCATATGCATACTTTGATGTTAATTTTTTATGACAGTGATTTAATTTCTTTTTGGAGAGATGACTGCAGAAAACACATCTTAAATGTTTTCATTTTCCCGGACATGTTGTGATATTCAGCTCGCCACCATGCCCCTTGTGAGGGTATTTCTGCTCAGCGTCGTGCTGAATGCAGCAGCAGGACTCAACCTGAACATGCTCGGGCGGGATGTTGAGGTAAAAACATTTTCCTACTAAAATACGGTCAACTATACGCAACTTCTTTAGCTGAGTATACCTCCAAACGTTGCTTTAATGGTACTAGTATATAAAACAAAGAGTATATAAAACACAATATACATTTTCATGGTCGTTGGCAGCCTCCTGTGCAGACTTTTTAAAATTTAAGGGCTGATTCTTGTTATGTTCCGATCGCTCCCGTGTTTTATATGACCAAGCGTAATCAGTTCGCTTACCCTAGGTTGGGGACATAGTCTAAACATAATGACACATAATCATAAGTACCTGATCATATGTCAAAATTTCCGACTTGCTATAATACGACTTGAGTATAATACGTTATTACATAGACGAGCAATTGTGGACGTGTGATGAAAAAAATGTAAATTTCAGATCACAACTCAACCTCGAGCTCCGGTTCCGGCCACAACCATCGAGCAACAGCAACCCACAGCCCAGATGGAAGGCGGTAAGGAAAACACTTGTAGACCATGCGTTTCGCCAAACACAAGTAACTTATACCAAGTCCGGATCCTTAGCTTGCTTATGGTACAAATGTGCTGAGTAAATTCACTCAAAGAAGCGCCGTCATCTCTTTAACCTTCTCCCTGGCGTCTGAACCCACAGTCAGTACAAGTTTGGTATCAAACGGCTACCTTAGCAGGCTGAATGTTAACACAGCAATGTTAACATCCTGTTTGTTGAGCTAAGTAACGTGTGATGTTTTCGTTGCCGTGTGTTAGCATGTTTGTCTACTTGAGGGACTATGCGCTCCGTAGTACGTACTTATTAACATATTGGTCAAAGTGTATAGTTGTTTATCTAACTACTAGTATAATAATATAGGCTCAGTTCCTCAAATAGAAACCATTCAGTGACACAGTGATATAATTATGATATAAGCGTATACGTCCTAACTAAACTTTGTTCGTTACTTTACAGTTGGCGGTACAACGTACATTCGCTGGGGTAAAACAACATGTCCACGAAGTGCAAGTCTGGTCTACGATGGTAATGATAAACTTTATGGAAGACTCAAGTTGTGGTATAGAAATAGAACACTTGTGTCGCATTTACATCACGATATTAGGACTATTACTAGTATACATATACATGTTGTGATCCTGTGAACGCAATGAACTATGTGGGTGCTAATAAAAACACACAGTTAAACGTATGTTCAGCCGTAGTAAAATAAGTAAAAGACTATCTGTTTATATGTTAAAAAGAAATCACCACGGAAAATCGATTGCCGAGTGTCCTTTGCAATGTTCTTTTTCTCCATGTCTGGTTCAATGTTGCAGATTACTTCCGGGACGGAAATATTGTTTTTGGCGGCACTGGTTTAGGGGAAGGTTGTGTGTTTGGTTTCCAGACTTTGCAGCAGGCCACATGACAGGAAGTCCAAGGGCCTGGTCGGGGTACATGTATATGTAGGAATTCAGTGGTAATACAACCATGGGATTGTAATCACGAAATCCCAAAACACTAGCTTGAAGTCTGAAATCTTTGATCACATGTTTGTATTGATACAGGTATGGCAGCAGGCGCGCACTACGCGCACGCTGGAGGCGGGGCCAGGCTACCTGTGCCTTCCTAAAGACCCGGAATGGGGGAGCTACCAAGACGCCTTCAACGGCAATGTAGCGTACCTATACGGCGCCGAGTACGAGACCCACAACCAACCTCCCTTCGTCGGGGCCGGCCTACACGATCACGACGTGCCCTGCGCGGTGTGCCACGCCCCCGGCCGAAGCGCTCTCCTCATGATCCCGGGCAGGAAGACGTGCAAGGGCGACGGCTGGGTGTCCGAGTACAGCGGCTACCTCATGGCGAGCCACTACATTCATCCCCGCACCGAGTGGGTCTGCTTGGACAGCGAGCCTGAGAAGGGGGGCACACCCGTCAACCACAACGGCGTGCTGTTCTATCCAGTGGAAGGGCGATGCGGCGCCCTGGAGTGCCCACCTTACGTCGACGGCCGCGAAATCACCTGTGTCGTCTGTACCAAGTAATGGTCAGTCACCGATAGACCGTTTCCGAAGCGACACCCCCCTAGCAAAGTTTTTGATTGTGACTTAGTTTTCCTTGTTTTCTGGTCTTATATACCAATAGTCTCTTGTTCTCACTACCTAGAACGTATCTATACTATCCCGTACTATCTGTTATAGCAAAGAAGAATAAAAATGATTGCAAAATCATCCCTTCTACTTCCGATGGCTTGTAACTTTGCACCAGTTTTTATTTCAACAAAAATGTATGTCAGAATATGACACCCCAACGTTAGCAGCAACGCTTTGCTAATGGTTATTCTAATAACGCGCAGATATAGAATTTATAGCAGGTTTTATACAATTCAAGCATCGTTTGATGACATTAACCATTCATTCAAAACAAGGAAGTAACAATAGTTGACGCCATTTTAATATATTGCAGTTCGTATGTTCAAATGTCCAAAACTAAAAACTCGTGCGGACCCACTAACTAAGCCTGCTCATGAGCCTGAGAGCGAGACTATCAGACATCATGGCGGCAGACTATCCCTGACGGTGTCCGCTAGCTTGGTGAGGTGGAGCTGGTGCAGGGCGTCCACAATCTTGTCCGCGGTGGCGCCTTCCCCGTACTGCCTTTGCCAGTCTAACAACATCGCAAAGGCCATCTGGTCCACGTCGCCCTACGTCAGGAAAAAATGTCAAATGTAGCATATTCATAGTTGCCAGCACAATTAGTGTCCAAGATTATCTGTGTCTTGTAGCAAGGACATTACTTTTATGCCCTTCGTTGTGACTGTGTGAGACCTTTTGGCATCTTCCATCTATTACTCCAGTCATGTGTTCGTAAGGTCACGTGTCTAGCGTAGAATGGGTCATCCGTCATGAAAAAGACTGGAGAGATCTTGAGATGCCACTAAAACCCAACAGGCCTAAAAAAATACATTTCCAAAACATCAATGGCTGTTATACTGTATATTTTGACACGATAACGGCATTACAAAGACGACTGTGTTCGTCCTTACGTACCGGATTGGCGTGTTTGATCTCGCCCAGGGCGCCCAGACTCAGGCCCAGTTTGATCCCGAGGTTCCAGTACTTGTTCCCCACCTGTCGGGCGATCCACAGCAGCTGGTCTCCCCGGAGCGTACCTTCACAACAAACATCAGGAATCTGGTCATTTTCAACACACATTCACGACTTCCGGGACGGAAGTACTGTTTTGGGTGACACTGATTTAGCTGGGGGGGGGGGTGTACGTTTGGCTCTACAGTTACAAGAATGGTGTGATAGTAAGTTAAGTCATACAAGCGTTTGGAAGTGAGTTGGGCGGAGATTAGATTTCTCAACCATAATCTTTTACTCAAGACCAGTATATGCTTACCTCTGGGACCCGTGTCTACCCGTTGCTGTACCAGGGCGTCCTCTAGGTGGCGCACCTTCAACTGCAGACGGCCGAGTTCTTGTTGCACATACTTAAAAAGTTCTGACTGGGCGGTCCGGTCTTGATGACTTCCTTCGTGATACCCAGCCCCAAACCTGCAAGGTTGAAAAAGTGTTTAGGACGTTTGCCAATCATTATGATTACAGGAGGTAAATATAATGCATTTGCTCGCAAATATTAGGTTTCTATATTACTGCAGCTATCTGTTTCGTCAACATAACAATGAAATTACCGAGTGGAATAAGATAAAAGATTTTTATTTTTACCACATGGCATTGTACATTGAGGCACATAGCATCTCAAGACGCATTGCAGCGTCTTGCATCTTTAAGATCTTACCTGTGTTCTATTTTCTCCTCCTCCTTCTTGAGTCTCTGCTCCAGGCGGTTCCTCTCCTCCACCACGAGCGCCTCCAGGCGGCGCAGTTCCGCGGCGTTCTGATCGCGCAGATCCTCCAACTGCCGCTGTAACGGGCCGTACTTCTCTTCTGTAGGACAGGATCAACAAGATAGTTAGAGATGGCAGTCTTCACCCTCTTACCCGTAGGTCTAAGCGCTGTGTTTAGATCTGATCATGCCAGGCCCTAGTACAACTTAAGTGACTAACGGTCCAAAAGCATTGAAGATTGTCATTTTCAAATATCACCAGAATAGAATACTTGCATCACCTACTACATCGGTAGGTTCCACCCCTAAGGCGTTGCCAAAAATTGTACACTTGGGAGGCTACGAAGATCGTTGTAGATGAAATTCCGCTGTAGATGAGAATGCCGCTGGATGAGGAAGGAAATTGTATCTCACCTGTGACTCTGAGATCTGTGTCTCTCTGATACCGTTTCAGCCCCTCCACCTCCTTCTGTGTCCGTACCGCGTCCTGGTGCAGCTGACTCGCCACTCTCTGTACCTCCACACGGTAGAAACTCTCCAGCTTCTGCTTCATGGACTCTTCCATCTGCCTCCTGAAAACAAGACAACAGTTCACCAGATCAGTAATGCATGCAAGATTTCCTGGCAATAATTCATTCTTATAGCCTTGATCTATTTCAAATATCTCTCCTTTTCTGAATCCTCCACTCAATCTTCCTTCCTTCCTTTTAAACGTCTGTCTCTAATGCATATCTAAACTCGCTCCTATTCTCCACTTACTTAACCCCTCCTTTCCTTCATTCACCTATCCAAGTTAATCCAACTTCTTCTTACTTAGTACCTTTCAATTCCTTCATTTTTTTCTTCTTTCCCTCAGTCCTTTCCTCCATCCATTCGGCTACCTTCCTTCCTACCCTCCTTCTTCACTTCTTGAACCACGCCCCTCTGTCTTACACTAGCTTTTTCAACTTTACTTCTTCTCTTAAAATCACCGTAAATGAAACCTTTGCTTCGTTATCTATTTGTTTGTTTGTTTGTTTATTACCTAATCTCTTCAGTGCTCCTCGGCGTCAAGGTCTCCATTTCAGCCTTGATGATGTCCCGGATGTTGGTGTTGAGATGCTCCTCCAGGTCTTTCCGAATCGCCTCGAACACTTTCAGAGCGAGGCTCGCCTGATGTTCGGACAAAGTCGTCAGGCGGGCCGAACATTGCCGAACTTGGCCTTCCACGTCCTGAAGCTTGTCCGAGTTGGCCTTCACTTGGACACTGAGAGGAGCAATCATATCTGGAAGAGAACACCAGAAACAGTTATGCTTTCCATATATTGCGCAACATCTCAACAAGGTACGTAATATGACACTCTATTGTTATCATTTACTGGTTTTGGGCTAAACGTCACTCTAGTTCTTTTGCATTTTACAAAACTATACAGCTTATATACAAATGGCTGGCGAGTACATACCTTTAACAATGACACGAATATCGTCCCCAGACACCCCATGCGTGCCTTGTTTCTGGACTCTCGGCATATTTGAAACTGGGGTCCCTGGATTCCCCTTACCAGGGTGTACCCCAGGGTTTGGTTTTCGGACCACATCATGTCCCGGATTGTGAGGATTACTAGTATTGGATAGGAATGCTGGAGTAGATAAAGATAGCGGATCTTTCGACCACTGTTTTCTTTTAGGCGCAGCAACCTCGTTGTCCTGTACATCTGAAACAGCTGACGCCGCTCTCCTATACGTCACTTCCGGTCGCTCCTCTCCAAAGACGTTAGGTTTTTCCCACTTCCGGCGTTGCGTGTTCACCCGAGTAGGCTCGGCCTCAGACGTGTTAGGATGCAGCTTTACCAAGTCTGATAAAACGCTGGGAAGTTTTAGACTATCCTTCTCTAGCATGGATTTTTCTCCAGACGCCACAGTCTGTACGACTCTGTGTGTCTGTTTGGCGATGTCCAAAGTAACGGGTATGAGAGACAAAATCCCGCCAAATCTCACAGCGTCCCTCGGGTCCAGGCTGTACCACGGCCTTTCGCTGGTTATTCCTCGGAACGGAGTTTTGGGATATTCGTGGTGTAAGACAGACAAGTCATTTTCGTCCCTCAAGAGCGTTTTCCATTTTGCCAGGAGATCTGCCGTGCGTTCTCTCTCAGCGTTGCTCATTTCTGTGTAGAAGATCGGTTCAACCAAGTCCGCCTTTGTCGCATCTCTCAACACCTTGAGATCTTCCACCGCGTTTAAAAGAGTCTCCAAGACTTCCGTATGGTGCGACTTTCTCTGTGTGATACCGCCAATGTCTCTCGTCAACAAGACGTCGTAAGATTTCCTCACGTCTTGGAGATTCTCGACTTTCTGTGTGTTGATCGGAGACGACTTGTAACTGCTCATGCCGTTTTCTAATGCGCTGATGAGGCTCTTCTGCTGAGCAGCGATCTTCCCGTACGTGAGTTCTAACGCGCGGATCTGTTGGGCAAACCGCGCGTTCTCCTGCAGTACCTCCCGCCTCTTCTGCATGTTCAGGTGCGAACCGCCAGGAGTCGCCTCCGCAAGCATCATTCCTCAGACCTTGACTGTGGCGGGAAGCAATATCAGATACTAGTAAGTTAATTGTAAATTCCTGCCCTAAGGCTATATTAAATTGCAAATAACAAGGATAAAAAACATAGAAACAGTAGAAACAGAATACGAAATAACTTCAAAATCCACATAATAAAAGGTAACGTTAACTGTCTAAAACTATAGCTATGTCTGAAGTCTAAAACTATGTCTGAAGGGTTTGACTTCTTTTTCTGCAAACCATGCAAGACGTTATGTCCCAACTTTTTCGAAATTTGTTGGTTTTGGGTAGTTAAAAGAAAATTTTTTCTTTGTCTGTACATTACAGAAAAGCCCATGACAGCTATTATAAACAGAAGCAAAGGTTACATTTGCAACTTGATAACTTTGAACGTAAACAGTTAGCAGCCTACTTTACCCGCATTCCTCCGCCTATTACTCCCATCCTATATGCTTACCTATGGGTTTTGTTATGCGGTGGATTATGTACTTAGCTACTAACATCACAGCCAGAAATGTAATTGTGTTACTTTAAGCCTTGCGGGAGCCTAACTTTTCTATACACAAACTTGAATTTACATCGCTCACTTTTTCAAACGTCAGGAAATCAGTTTAGAGCGAGTTTGAACATCCGAACGCAACACAAAACGAAGGTTTTTTTTTACTGAAGTAAAATGCAGGCAGCCGTTGGGTGGTTAGTCTATCATTGGTTATTGGTAAAACCATACAGTTGCAAGAACTTTAAAAAGGACCCATGTCCAGTACTAGTGCTTATCAACCTTCAAAGGTCTCCAGGTCAACTGCCATACTTTGTTGCACCCTTAAGAAAATTAGGAATGGGCATACACGTGCTTACATGCGCCGTGCTGTCGATAACTAACTAGCCACCGTTTCTATGTACATAATCCGCACGGGTCACCGCCACCCTTTTGAAGAGCATTGTTGGGCCGTGTGTCAGCTGCACCCTACAGACTAAAGGTCCGTACTGCCTTGTTGAGCTAGTATTATAAACATTTCAGCCTGGAGTCTGGATAATTTTTCATTACTCAGTTTGTCAAAAAATGTTGTTAAGAAACTTCACTTGATTGAGCTTGCGGCTTTGAGTAGTTAACGACACATTTTTCAAGTGGCTTGTTTTTGAAAACTCACACAATATTTTGTCGCTTCAAGCTTAAGAGTTAACGTTTTTTTTTTCTTGCGCGTGTATATATTGCAGCATGTTTTCAAATCCAATGAAGCTGAAGCATAAACTGGGTTTTGGATATATGACACACGTAGACATGCACAACTGCTGCTGCATTAAATATTGGTCTCGAGTTCGAATTAAAATCTCCGATTTTTCGAATTTGTATAAACAAATAGACACGTGTTGAAGTAGAGCCATACACTGAAAAGGGTTTACAAGAGGCTAAAAAGATTTTCTTATGAATTAAATTAGTACAAAACGCGTACAGTCTTCTTACAATAGCGCAATGTATATCGCACACTTTGTCAATCAATAGTATATATAGCTGACATGTATCCTGGACCTCTGTATAAGCCGTACGTTCTACCATGTATTTGAATATCGAGGCATTGTGGTACCTATAAATAGCTAGGAAAGGATTAAGTAACACACGGCCAGGGCTACTGACAAACATACGCGACAGCTGCATGCACTGCAACCCCCCAACACCGTGCCCTAACGTTTGACACTAACCTAACACTCCTTATACAGCAGACCCTGCCTCCGTAATGCATTTCTCGAGTGGCTATAATGGCTCTTGACGCACTGTAAGCGTTAGCTACAAAGTAGTTCGCATTATTCAATGTTTTGACTCACGGTAGCAACAAGTGTTACTATGCCCCCCTCCCCCTAACAACAAAACCGTCAGTTATAGTACCTATATAACATTAAAAGTCTGCCTGGTTGTAATGTCTTTATTTGCCGTCTTGCCATATGACATGACAAGCCAGGCTATTGATTACATGCAAGGCATTTCGTACAGCCTCGGGCGATGGAAGAATCTCAGAGGCTTTGTACAATTATAGCTGGGAAAATTAGCGGAACACTAAATGTTTTACTGTCAAGCAGGCAAAACGAACTTATTGTCGTACCTACCTTGCAGTATCACAGCAAAATCCTTGCTTCGTTGTTACAATGGCGCTGCTAGTAGGAGATTTGGAGTGCAAATATCACCTTGACGTCTGCACGACTGTTGATGTGGCCACACGGTTAAGACTTAAAAATGTGAGATATCTACAATTAAAAACACCCCGTAAAACAAGGCAGTTTGTTTGTACTCTAAACACCAGCGGCTGAGGGAGGGTGCGATCCGATCTAGCGGCGTGAAAGATGTCCCCACACCCGATAGCGAGTGCTTTTGTTGCCACTTGTTGGTAACCGGGTCAACCGAGGGGAAACAAAACCTAGGGGAGCGCACAGGGCCAGCACTTGGTGACGTATTGCCCCTTTCAACGCTTGAAAAAAGCTTTGTGTGTGCCTAAAGGTGTGTAATACATTTTGCTTCCCAAAGCGGCTGCCTAAGAGGGGATTGGCTGAGACAGGGACACGTTTGATTTATCTTAATGAGCATCGTATATCTCGTGCTTCCTGTGTGGCAACAGGTTGATGTGCACATAGTCATTGAGCAAGAAGCGCCCTCCAGCAGAAATGGCAGATAATGCAGAAAACCAAATAGCCAAATTTAATAGCTTTCTTTTCTATAAAAATGTACATTAAGGGTTCGTTTCTTCTACATATTAGGTGTGAATTTTTCACTTAATTCGTCCATGTAAACACGCCCCCCTCCCACCCCTCACTCGCTCAAAAATTATGAAATAATTTTCGTCTCTTACCTGTCGAAATAGTCGGTTATAAATGCAGGGGGGTGGGATAAGTATGCCAAGGAACATCTCAATTGTTGAAAAGGTATCAAAGAACACGACCAATTCTCATCCCCTCGAAAATAGTTTTTGTAAACCTTTCATCAAGTCTTCTCATATTCAACCATTGGAGTGAGGTGTCATGCATTCTGAGTTTGTTTAGAAGGTATGTGTATTTAGAGGGTTTACTTGAGCAGCTGCTTTATGGGTAAGACACATACACCGTCCTGTTCAGTCATATGCATTTTATTACTTTGTATAAACATCATCTAGTGGGGAAGACAATCCCTCCTCAAAACTTGAGTGCTCCTGTAATAGATGCATCATGAACACCAACAATACAGAGACTGACCAGTTCAAGGGTACTATTTACTTTATTTGGGAACAACAAGATCAACAAAAGGGTACAGGATCATGATTAAACTTTTATCAAAATGATTAAAGTCTTTTGGAAATGTGTGCAAAAAGAAAGTGTGTACATAGGAAGGCTTTAATTCTTCATCTAGATTTGATTTTAACATTTAAAATCTCTTTTCCATTTAGTTGATGTTGATTACTGTAGCTGTACAGACTGGGGTTTAGTATGGACAAGCAAGGGAGACCGGTGGTGACACGTTACATCGTCAACTCCTGTAAATAAAAGAGAAAAACAGTCAAAACAGGCAAACACGATAACACAAACTCATGACAAAACATGTTAAAGTTTGCCAATGTTATGATAACAGTTTGCAACAAACTAATCATCGAAGTTACCATCTCAATTCAGACTTTGTAAGACTATAATGTGTTATCTGTGGATGAACTGGTACTTACCATAATGGCATTGACAATGTCGTTGTTATTGTTTTTCAGGGCCTTGACTGCCTTTGCACGCGAGATGTTAGCCTGGGACATCACAAGTTCAATGTCCTTAGGTTCCACTCCAGAGTCGTCAACCTGGAGAAAAAAGACAAGACGTGTGAAAAACAAACATATAGGAATGCAAAATATCATTGGCATGTATGGTAACTTTTCTTCTATTGGTTGATCTAATTTCAATTTACAGACAAAAATATAAGGACTCTTAAAATTTAACTGGCATGTAGCTCTACTCCTATTGGCTGATTTTGATTGACAGCCAGAATTAGCCAATCAGAGGTGCTCACCTCCTCTTCCTCTTCGCTCTCCTCCTCGGGGACTGCGGTGGTGATCTTGCCCGGCTCGGGGACCGTGGACATCTCGGGGGCCTTGAACTTTTCTGCTGCAGCCATCTGCGCCTGCTGACTCAAGTCTTCAATCTGGAAACAGCATGTGAAACAGATTTTAAGTTGATGTGTCTACTAAAAAATGGGAGCTAAATTCTAAGGTAGGAAAGGTGTTTTTCCCCCCAAAGTTCTCAGGTAAAACAATTCTGAGGTACAGCAGTAATACACTGGATATACATAATTGTAATGTTATTAATTGGCAGTAGAGAGGTCACCATAAAAACAAAGCCAATGCGAACATTTCAACATTTACAGTACATAGAACAAGCAGCATTGCAGGACAGTGAAAAACAAGGACAACAATTCTCACCTTTGCCTCACCAAAGACGATGTATGTGTCTGACGCTGGGCTTTTGTAGACGTCGGGTTTTGTTATGACAAAGAGGATATTTTTGGATTTTCTAATGGTGACTCTACTGACGCCAGTGAACTGCTTCAGGCCAAGCTTGGACATGGCCTTACGAGCCTTCTTCTCCTGACGGGACTGTTTGGCCTTGCTGACCGGCTCCTCCTGGATACCTGCCATCTGAGCCATCTGTGGAAGTACAGGCATCAACTTAAACATCCATGAAGCTTACAAATGAGAAATCATACATTTCGGTGTTGCAGTCTTAGTTTCAAATTTGTGTAAAATGCTTAAAGCTGCCAAGGCTGACTGATCATTAAGCTGAAATTTGAAATGTTAATAAACCATGCTTCTACAATATCAAGTCCTTATGTTGCATATAGAAAGTTAAACTTAAAGGTAGATTTCTTAGACGGTCTGACCTGCTCCTGTTGTGAAGTGGGCAGTCCCTCTCCAGCATCCTCCAGTTCAGGTAAGGAGTCATCACTGTCAGACTCTGTGTCTTCACTACTCACTGTCAGCAACAAGATGAAATAGGATTTCATATATAGAAAAACTATAACTCACTGTACAAGTAAATAAATCATATTGTGCTTACAAGACTTTGAATTTTCTTTTCTAAAACATCTGATTTAATTTCAAAGCTAAAGGCAAAAGTAATACTTTTCTCATCGTACAATGTAGCCTTCACATGTCAGGGACCTCCCTAAACAATGGAGCAGTGGAGCTCCTCCACCCAGTCCTTATCTCAGCTCCACTCTGTTAATTTTCAAAACTAGTGTTTTTACACCCTTTTCCAGGGTTCTTTGGTCAAATTTACCGATATTTCGCACCCTCCTCCATTCTGTCCTAAATTTCTGGGGAGATCCCTGCATGTCCATACTGTTGTAAAATATTTTACTGTTGAAGTGTTCTATTTATGAGCCTAATCTTATTTATGATAAAAAAGTGATATGTTCAAGACTTTATTGTCATATCAAAAAAAGATTTGTTTCAAATTCAACTTCAGATATGACAAGTCAATGAGTTGACTTGTCATATCTGAAGTTGAAACAAATATTTTTTTGAGCAGTACAAAGCTACTGCAAATGGCACCTTATGGCTGTCAGCTGAACAAATGAACGCAAATACACAATTGCCAACAATGTCAGACATGAACAACAGGTGCACAAATAAGGGATAAATAATAACAAGGCCTGGGGGGCAATGAAAATTACATAAAGTATTCTAAAAACATCTTATAACACATTGTATTTTCATAGTACCGTCATAGTGTATCTTTTTCTTTGCACAGCACACAAATCTTCTGGATTTTTCTATATGAGTCATCATGTTTGTTTTGACTTGCACATGGCAACTGTTAGCTATTAGACAAAGACTTTACAATCTCTGTACGTACCTTTATTCTGTTCTGCTGGCTTAGTTTCTACTTCAGCCATGTCTACTTCAGTTAATTCGGGCATTCTGTAAATAATAATGAAAACGATATTACAATTTAAAAACATGAAATTACTGATGATGCAATTTTGAACATGGGGAGGGGGGCAAAACGCGTACAAAATGACATAAACCGTCCCAAGCTTAAAATGGATGTCACATAGCATTCACGATATAGACAAGAGCTACTTCTAACATCAGGGATGAAAGACAAAAGGCAAATCTCATTAATATATCGAAGAATAGAAGCCATGTCCACATGCATGTAACTTTGTCTAATCTGCCCCCCTCCCCATAATTTTCTTTCTCATGCTGCGTCAAAATGCACCAAGACACAAAACCTTCGTAACACAGCCTAAAGTCACTTGTTGTTAGACCTGTACCTTCTGATTGTTCAAAATAAATTGATAAATGCTGGTTTTATCTTGTATACACACGCCAGAGCTGGATTTTCAACAGAGCTGGATTTTCAACCTCCGATCAATTCCAAATTTAGTCATGCCCATGCTTCAAGTTATTCACACATCCCTGTCGTGCTTTTAGTTTTACATGTCTCCCTTTCATCGGGCGGAAAAATCAAAATACACCGCACAGCAATTCTCTGAAGTCTTAAAAACTGTCCACAGCACAACTGGTTAAAAGAAATGGTTATCTAGATGCCCGATGCGGGCGGATTCACAAACCTTTACCAGATTTTCCGCACAGTTCCCCTGCCTTTCACGAAAGATGGCGCGAGTTGAAGTTTCGTCACTTCCGGATAGCATTCGGATTTCATTTCCGGTCTCGCCCCGTTTGGGAACTCTCGTCGTGAAAGTCACGAGACTTTGCGAGAGTTAGTGAAAGTGACGTGCGAAAGATAGCGGGACTCTTGAAACACGTGAGTTTGAACTTTCTCTGCACACCTGGTCAGGTAAGAAGGTTGCATACACCGGAAGAGTGTATTTTAAGCAAGAGTACCAAGTTCTAAATGCTAGTGCATTGAAAGGAAAGAGCGGCCTAAACTGGAACTGCAAAAGACGTTCCTACCTGGCCAACTTGAGGAATCTACTCTACTCTACTTAGGGACTGTACGATATTTACCGGGGGGGAGGGCTGGTGCAAAATGGTCCGGTAAAATTTTTTCAATGGCCCTCCCCCGGCTCAAAATTTTTTCAATGGCCCTCCCCCACCCCAAAAATTTTTCGATGGCCCTCCCCCCATCCCAAAAAATTTTTCGATGGCCCTCCCCCCCATTTTTCGATGTCTCTTTATCCCTCCGTAAATTCCCAAATTAAATACGCATTTAAGTACGCGCCCCCAATTTGGGGCTGATTGGAGACAAATATTCCCGTCTGAAGTGAAATGGGAAAACTCGAATAAAGTACGCACCCCTTCTACGCACGGCCGGTACCTCTGGTCTTAAAGACAGTTCATCGTTCCAAACAAATTTAAAATTGCAGCTTCAAAATTGTTAAAAACTAGATTTATGCCATATACTACGTGATTGTATGGTAACATAGCGGGAAACGTTCCATGTTCGGGCTTGTTTTCACCGCTGGCCGCAGCCGACTTGCAAGACGTCACCACCGCATCGAAAGGTAAGGCAAGTCCGGCGGAACGTACAGGCTTTGGATCCCGGAGAGTGTTGGTGATCAAGCAAGCAATGGTCAATAAAGATTTGTGAAAAAAGACCGTATTTCAATATTGACTTCATCGGTAGCGGGGGTCAATTGAATGTTGATGCACAAGTACGTAGCTTTGTTGTTTTTTTTTACTATACGAAATGCACCGAACACTTAAAATAGCACCCGCCCGATCGACCCATGGAGAGCAATTAATTAACGATCATCAGGCGGAGAACTGGGCGGAGTATTCATGCTACTGTAGAGGTGCTGCCGAATTTAAAATTTGCCACCCGTTACACTTCTAAGGAATAAACACGTGTTAATTTGTACTCCGTAAAACTTATAAGTACATTCAGTTCAGAGGAAAGAAAGATTTCCTTCCCGGGTTCTGGAAAGCTGTCCTCAGCGCTGCCACGGCCCTCTTTGTTCTTCAGCTGTAGGTGCACTTTGCCTGTCGGCGCGCCCAACACCCCACCCACCGGCCTTTCATCAAAGACTACATTTTAAGATAACTCCGCCCATATCATTGTAGCTTGCCGAACAGTCGGGTGGGAGAGTACATCTAGCTGGCATTTTCACGTCGTACTGCACTGGCTGGTATAGTCCGCTACAAAGTAATTTCCCGTGGCGTTTATCAGGATTTAAAAAGATTTGTGATACGAAATGAAACATGGATAACAATTTCTGTCAACTGAACCTTTGAAACGGTATGGGGTAAAATCTTTGTCGAAGATTTCTGAGTTAAACTCAAGCCGGAAGTGCATTAGAACTGACCACCAGTCGAGGCACAACTGTTATGTTATCACGTTACGTTATGTTTACGACGATCAAAAACTTCACGGCTTGCGGACCATTTCAAATATTACCGCTCATAAACCCTCTTATAATTTTATATGTACTTACGGGGGGTTATATTTTCGCCGGAGTTCCACTGAGATCGGCGTCGACTGGCTGGGGAACGATCCGGTCGGCATGACGGAGCGCCGGGCGTCATTGCTAGTGACCAACATTTTCTTACCGTGGGTGACTTGACTTCTTTTTTACCACAACTTGGTGTAAATATCGACGATAGTCAGAGAAAGTATGTTCATATATTGAAGTTCAACTTTATTTCCACTCGTCAATATTCTTATCTAAACATGCTATGGACGATCGATGTCGTTCCAAGTTCCCCGTGCCGGTGTTCCGCTATATTCCTGGGTCGTCCACGGATTTGTCGGGGGGAAACCTCAAATAAAGTACGCACCCCAACTTTGGCGACGGCCCGAGACACTTTTGAGATTTGGAAAAGTTTTAAAAGTGCGTACTATATTTCGAATTTACGGCGTATTTCTTGTAATTCGGTACTACGCGACGCCATATTTTGGAAAACTTTTTCAGTGGCCCTCCCCCCCAAGGCTGATTTTTTTTCGATGGCCCTCCCCTCGGTTAAGATATTTTTTCGATGGCCCTCCCCCCAGGCCAAAAAAGTTTTCAATGGCCCTCCCCTCCAGTGCACCAGCCCTCCCCCCCCGGTAAATATCGTACAGTCCCTTAAACATGGAGGTAGTGTTTTTTCTAGACTTCAAAAGAGTAGACACTGGCCATAATTTTGAGTTATTATACGCCAAAAGCTTCCAATTTCACAGCAGCGAACTGTACTCCTTCAGTGGACCAATTCCCCTGGCATATGTTTATATCTCAGTCTATTTCGACACGTCTCTTTCCTGAAGCATCTGAAGCCTGGTAGAGGCTATTTTTGAGGACTAATTTAACCTTCCCCATGCTGTGCCCCTGTGCACCAAAGTTGTATCATTTATTGAAAGCAGAAGTCAGCAGGGGAAGGTTAAGAAGATGTCCTGACAGATCTACAGGTCAGTTCAGGGACAGACAGCTTCACCAGCAATTTCCTCCCATCAGTCACACTGAAAGGGCAGAATTTGATTATGTTGCAGCTCCTCGACATCTCACCTGATTAGTAAAGTCTGCTAATAACATCATGTCAATGTAGGTTACTGAGGAATAGTGTCCCAGATCAAACTCTCAGTGTCAGACAGACAATTGCAGAACTAAAGTAGACGGAGCGGATAAGCCAAGTGACTTTTTTCACACCAAAATCACTCCTCGGTAAGAATGTAATAAGACACTTAAGTGAGGATCAAGTAGGGAATATGACACATATTAAAGAGGGCCTGCATGCATTTTTCTGTGAGGCTGAATGTTATAATGTTAGCACATATGTTTCCTGAATTCATCATAATTGACAAATTCTTCGTATTTCTTACTCGAACACAAAGTAGCAAAATATGAATGTAGTTTGATATTTGAAACATTTTACTGCACCAGAGCAGAATTGAAACAAAACAAATTTAAAGAAATATCGAATAACTTTCCATGTCATTTTATATCATAAGGTATAATACACACCTTTTTTTATGAATTAGGTCAAGAGCAGTACAGGATCTAGGACAGACTTTTGTTTATTTGAAATGGTAAGTATATTATAAGGTAAGCACAATTGAATTTTATTTCATGCTCTAATTGCGACGCTAAAAAAACAGGCTCTTTGAAACAACTGTAATAAATAGTAGTACTACCATAATCTCCTTGAGCCTTCCTTATCTAGAAAACCTTCAAAATTTACCTTCTAAGTTCCTAGATGTACTAAAATCACAAAATCAATCCAGCATTTATTTTTTAAGTCGAGAACCAAGGAATTGAATTGGTGTGACAATTCCACAGAATTGATTCTTTATTGGACCACCAAATACTGATAGTGCCTGGTATGAAGGCTTTCAAGTAGAATTTCTGGATATTGTCATGAGACTGAGTCGTGATGAATAGGATATTGCTATTTTCACACCCAATTCAATCTGGGCTTACTTTCCAATAGCTGTGAAGTGTGATATCATGGCTCAGAAATACCTGTAATGTTGCTGTAGTAGGTGATACAGCATGAGACATTGAGCCTAAGGAACCAGCATATTTTGTGGTGTTAATATTGTTATATTACAAATTTCAATATAACAATATCCACACAAATTACACTGCCTTACAGCCCTGCTTTCATACAGTTATTACAAAATTATTCATACACCTCATAACTTTACATTTATGTTGTTATGTGAATATTGAATTTGACATTTGTTTTGTTCTTCCTCAAACTACTTGCACAGGTAAGAAATTTTAAGGTACCTTATTAAATGTCTATACATTTGTGTAAAAATGCCATGTCCGGAATTACCCTACGTTGTTGAACTTCACAGTCAGTTTTGCAAATGAGGTCAAACCACATTTATTACGACACACAACTAAATGAAGTTTTATATAGTCAAAATTCCACTGCACTGTATTTTATTCTTGAGAAAATAAAAAATAAATACATGGGTTACAGAAGCCTTTTGGCTCAAATGTGTGCTAGTTACAGAAATTTTGTACATTCTAATAATAACATAACAAATTAAGGAGGTTATAACCTTGCATTATAACCTTGAGCTCAAATCAAAACAAAGGAAGGAATGCTTTGTGATATTTGCATGTTGAAAATGTCTGTCAAGTTCTTTTTTTTTACAGTAATCACCTTGTTTGCTCCTAAAAGCAGTCGTTAAAGCATATTTCATGACCTATGCATGTTCCCCTGGGCTCTGGAGCAGTGCTTGATAAAGGAGGTGCTTTACAGTGTTGGGAATTTCAAATGACTGATGACTCCAACTGGAATACCAAGATAAGGCGACAACCATTGTGTCAATAATGCTTACAGTACAGGTTTGGGAAAATTAGGCAAATCATTTGTGCTGCAGATAATTGAGGTAATATTTCAATGCTTGTTGATAAATGCCCTTTGAGACTTTCCCTGGTACTGAATGACATTCACACTAACACTGGCATCCCTGTCCCTGGTACTGAATGACATTCACACTAACACTACAATCGCTGTCCCTGGTACTGAATGACATTCACACTAACACTGCCATCCCTGTCCCTGTTACTGAATGACATTCACACTAACACTACAATCCCTGTCCCTGGTACTGAATGACATTCACACTAACACAACCATCCCTGTCCCTGGTACTGAATGACATTCACACTAACACTGGTATCCCTGTCCCAGGTACTGAATGACATTCACACTAACACAACCATCCCTGTCCCTGGTACTGAATGACATTCACACTAACACAACCATCCCTGTCCCTGGTACTGAATGGCAGTGATACTG